ATTCAATTTACATCATGACCAAATAAATTCAATTTACATCATAACCACATACTAGTAAATTCAATTTACATCATGAAAGAGCTCATGTAAAAAAAAAATGCCAGCTACGTGTAAGTGAGTAATGAAGATTTTAAAAGATTATGAACTTTCAAATTATAAGCAACTTTGCCCTACCCTGATTTCTGAACTGGAGGAGGAGGAACTTTACAATTATAGTGCAAGACTAATGTTACTTACAATCACCAAAACGAATTTGGCTACCAGATTTTAATGAGTAAATGAGATTTTCAAAGGTGTTCTAAAATTTCAAAATAGATAATCCTATTTTAAACACCCTGCATTGGACCTGAACCAAATGCGAATGGGAAATAAATTTCACTCTTTCTGTAATAATATCTGCATGATTTCCATGAGTAAAGGGCTTTTTGGTCACAGTGATATAAATTTACTTTGTTTCTCTTTAGTCTCAGCTGTTTTTGGTTCCATTGAAAAAAAAACTGAAAATATTCATATAAGTTTCAACCAAAGCAACGAGGTTAAAACGAAGAGGTACATATTTATTTAATAACCTTAGTGAATCAGATGACTAAAAATATAATTTTTTGATCCAATGAAGCAAAGGAAATAAACTGACACAGTTTCAATATGAAAGATGAGTTCAAAGACTGAGGGATTTACTATCTACAATGATCTAATGCCGTCATTGTTTGAAGCCTCCACACGATGGTGTCCTACCCGTCCGTTGACATTTGGAGCAGACACCCGACCCAGTTTTGTTCGTTTGATCGTCAGAGATCTACAGGGGGATCACCTTTGTTACCTTACTTCATTACGCATTCATTCACTCTGCATAAATATGTGGGGGCCTCTTATTATTTACGCATATCTCACTTTTTCCCCTTCCTAACCTATTGTCATAGGCCATCAAGCTAAAATGTATCCTGTTTAAATTTAAAAGCCTAAATATGTATTGTCAGCAGTTTTGTCGGAAGGTGTGCACTAGTCTAGTTGCCTTTGAAATGAACTACTCCAAAGGATGAAACCTTTCGCCAAGAATTTTACAGACATACTCACTATTACCTGAAATTTTTAAAGAAGTAAAAGACGAGGGATTATATGCAAATGGTGTACAATCTATACATTAGTAAATACCTTTCAAATTTGTGCCCTTTACAATTCTATACCAAAAAAAGTCGAATATTTCCAATGTTTTACTGAGCGGACATAAAAAAAAATGTTTGAACGCAGAGTGAGATGTTGGACCGATTGATGAGATATTGGACCGCTTACGTCACAGAGTAGGTGGAGTACGTCAGTTATATATCTAATTGGAGTTGGACGGAACTGTAGTGCGGGTAAACGAAACTTACACAATGAATCGTCAAAATAAAAAGTAAAAGGTATGACAAAACATTTATTGACTGTGTTTTCGGGCAAAATGCGTTATGTCCATCCCTCGAACCAAACTGTTTGCCTTCATCCTAAAGGCCTCGGGCAAACAGTTTGGTTGTTCTTGGGTCCGACAAAACATATTGTTGCCATCGAACACAGCAGAGACGTATAAGAGAGGGAAGGCACAGTCAATCATCTTGACGATGGGCCTCCCGTTCTCTCTTAGACCGAGTAAGCAAGAAATCAGAGCGGCATAGCCAAATGCAATGGCGACAATGAGAGGAAGCGACGGCGACATGGGTGGTGATAATCTTGCTGGCTTTTTTATGCTCTAAAGCCCTCGCTCTGTACATTTTGTCCAACCTTAACATTTTCTACTCCGTTGTGTCGCTTTTTGTAGTTTCTTACTCCGTTTTGTCGCTCTTTTGTCGTTTCTTACTCTGTTGTGTCGCTCTTTTGTAGTTTTCCAATCTGTTTTGTCGCTCTTTTGTTTTTTCTTACTCTTAATAGTTTTTAACTCCGTTTTGTCGCTCTATTTTAATTTCATACTCTGATTTGTTGCTCTTTTGACGGTTCTTATTCTGTTTGTCTCTCTTTGTCTTTTCCTACTCTGTTTTATCGCTCATTTACGGGTTCCGTTTTGTCGCCTTTTTTTTTTTGTTTCTTAGTTCGATTTGTCGTTCCTTTGTCGTTTCTCATTCCGTTTTGTCGTTTCTTACTCCGTTTTATCGTTCATGTATAGCGGTTCTCCGTTTTGTTTCTCTTTTGTTGTCTCAAACTCCGTTTTGTTCTATTTTTAAGTCGTTCTTCTGTGTCGTCGTTTCTTCCTCAGTTTTTGTCGTTCTTGTCAAGTTATAGTGCTCGTTTTCAACCCCGCATTATGAATAACAGTTCATAATAATTGGGCCCTTTTCAACAGATTTGGCAAGGTTTAGTTTAGACCTTTAACAACTTATTTTCAAATTTTTCTGTATGTTTATTGTTAAGCATAAAGAATTTCTCCTATTGTCACGACTTTGCAGTAATTGCTCGTCAGCAAAGCAGAGCAATACATTGTCAATGTGCAATGTAGCTGGTACAAGACATCCCTTTTTTCCAAATGTTGTAGCAACAATTGTTAAACTTTGTTTATCTTCATAATTCACGAAAGGTATAAAACGTGTCTTCAAACAGAACCAAGTCTTGTACAATGTTACTTGACACCGCGGTGAAAATATTTACTTTCGGTTTGTCCATGTCGTGATTTGAATGCTTTGCCACCATGGAAGAAACACGTGCGTCTAAATGATCATGTGGCCATATATTCGATGTAACAGTTAGATAAAACTAAGGAAACATAAAAAATGTCCAAAAAAAAACTGTGTTGTATCATGAACAGATTGATTTAGTGTAGTACATCAAAAATACATGGTCGTTTTCAGTTTAATCATTCTCGGGACTGTCGGAGTTCGGCGAGGATGTGTCAAGTTTCCTAGCATTACATAAAAAAATTGTCTTTCTGCTAAACAAGAATAAAACTGGCCCCTTTGGCCTGGCCTGTGTTGGCCTCTATCTAATTTGGCTTCAAACAAATTTTGGCCTGGCCTCAAAAGTTGGCCTGGCCTCAAATTTGGCCTCTGTAAAAAATTTTGGCCTCAATTTTGGCCTCACTCAAAAATAATTTCTTTTTCAGAATTTGATTGATTTGATTGATTTTTTTATTGGTTTCATTTTTTCAAAGATTAAGCAGGTAAATAATATATTTCTGTTGATATGTAAATGTGAACATTAAAAGTAATCAAGTACTGCCACCAATATGATTTATTTTATTGATTTTCAATCGGTCAGTGTACACTTATTTCATTTTATGATTTGATGACCAGTATTTTATTCTGACACACTACCGACACTCTTGCTTAATTATTTTGGGAAAAAAGTATCAGCGTTTATTTTTTGTTTTCCAAATTGTGTATATTGAAAAAATCTCTAGTAATAATTTATGTCAGATGTTTGAAAAATTCCACCTGTTAAGTGATGAATCATCACTTTTCACACACTGTAGAGTCTTGCATTATCTTAAATGTGATATATGAATACAGGCACTACAGAATTTTTAAATAAATATACTACCACATACCAATGCAGATACCAAAATATTTATATTAATATACTGATTTGATTGTTCAAAATTCATATGTACTTTAATCTCAGAACAGTTGATATTTAAAGAATGGATATAAATAACATTTATCAGATAATTTGTAACTTTCTGTTCCTGTGCGGTAACACTGTAATTGGATATCTAATGACAAAAAATCCTGCAGCATGGTTCTTGACAGGGAGTTAAGGTTGATGTTAATCAGTAATGAAATGTGTATGTGTATAGTCTGTTAAGCCACCCATGATTTGTAAAAAAAATTCCTGCTACAACTTTCACTACCTACAATTATCAAAACAAAAAATGAGTTTGATGATAGTTTATTAACATTTGTGCTGTAAAACAATTGAATCCTATCAACCAGACCATTAGAACCCTATCATATAAAATGTGGCCAATTACTTGCATATCATAGTATTGACACTTTTTCTATCAGTTTTTAAAAGTAGTCCTCGTCCTCAAAGATTTTTTTTTATTCTGAATAAAGACAGTTTTAAAAAACTTGTAACAAGTAATACCTAAAATAGCAAATTTTAAATTCTATTTAGTTCTTAGGTAATTACTACCCATCTGCATTTCTTTGTTGTCTTGATAATTAAAATTGATGTTTCTAAATGTTTTACTCTGTTTAATCCTACCATGGAAAAAAAATTAAAATCACATTTACTATTTATATCATTAAGATACGGTAGTATCTTATTGAAAGTAAAACTATATGCTCTGTGTTATAGTCTTCAGAATTGCAACTGATCAATAGAAAATCAATAAAAATAAATCAGATTGGTAGTAGTGTATTATTATTTTAATGTTCACATTTACATATCAACAGAAATATATAATTTAACTGCTTAATCTTTGAAAAAAATGAAACCAATAAAAAATCAATCAAATCAATCAAATTCTTAAAAAGAAATTATTTTTGAGTGAGGCCAAAATTGAGGCCAAAATTTTTTACAGAGGCCAAATTTGAGGCCAGGCCAACTTTTGAGGCCAGGCCAAAATTTGGTTTGAAGCCAAATTAGAGGCCAAAATAGAGACCAGGCCAACTTAGAGGCCAGGCCAGGCCAAAGGGGCCAGGCCAGGTTTTAGAGTATGCCAAACAAGATTACATAATTATCTTCAGGTTTCATTTCATGCTCTTTTAATTTGTTGTTTTGCGGTATGGACACCGTAAAAGCCATCACGATGTAGAGAAATTCCGCAGACACGTTGATGGCGGTAAAGCAACGCATGACAGGCTTAGGCAGAGAATGTGTCAACACAACTAAAGCTACACTAAACTTAACATCTGGAATTTAACAGAGTAAAAAGATACTACGTGTTTCTTCAAGCATCTTGCACCTAAAAAATACTTACGCAGTATATAAAGAGTCAAGGAAATAGCAACCTGTGTAAATTTTGATCAGAAAACACATTACACATTCCATCTTGCTGTTTATTTTGAAATAAAAATAACAATTTGTGAAAAAGTTAAAGTAAACGGTATGCTTTTACACGTCTGCCCTCTAATCAAGCAAATCTCAGCCATTCGTGACCCCGATCTGATAATTATTCCACCGATGACTCTTTTTTTTTGTAGATGTGTTCAGTTTCATTTAAATAGAAAAGAAACTTGCTACATAGGCACTTATAATAATTTATTACCGGCATCATAATCCCCTACCCATTTTAACTTTCAATGTGGTTTTTGTTCAAGTATCAACGTCTTTAGCTCTTGGAATTGATCTTCCTTTAGTGATGTTTGAAGGGCATGGAAAAACTCAAAATAATGATGAAAATTGTGTCTGAAAAAAAAAACAAACAAAAAAATATATCAGTTTTTCTTTAAACTAGAAGTCTCCTATGAGACTGTAGCTCCACTGGTTAATACTTTAAAATTTTCATCTGGACTTGATTTTTTGAATTTTAATCTTATCAAAATCAGATCAAAATGATAAGAGGATTTCTGATTTAAGTGTTTTGATAATTTGACCATTAGAGCTTAAAAACAAAATCACTTATATTTCTTTTTTCTGAGAGGGCTAATATATAGGTGGCATACGCATGCTATTTGTTTTTATCCTTTTTAATATTTTAGATTTATTTTAGACATAAACTTATTTAAGTTTGAATTAAGATGCATTAAAGTTTTAAAAATAATGTTTAAAAATAATAAACATAATGCAATAACTTAAAATCCCTTAAACAAAATTTCCCATGAATAAATATGTATCATGAAAAATATTAAGAAAAGAAAAGCATGGTTTATCTTACACACATTTTTTCTCCTTGTACTTTTGAGTTAATTCAGTATCTCTGTGCACACTTGGTGCGAAAGTTGCACCTGATACTATACAGATAACCATCAGAGGTCCACCTTAGACGTCTAACTGACATTCTTCAGGTATGTGCCATCGCGGACTGGCTTTAACGCCTATGAAGAAATCTATTTTACATCCCTTTCTATTGAAGATTATCTCTACCAATCTTATCTTGATCTTTATATACATTACAAAACCTCTCATAAAGCTCTGTCTTCAGATTTCACTTTATAATTTTACATTGTGTTTAAATCAGTTTGACATGAAAGGTCCTTTCAGTTCCCTTTTAAGCATAAACACTGTAGATAAAAATAGACATAGATATTACTTCAATATTTAAAATACCTGAGCTTTCATTCTTTTCCAAAAATTACATACATATTGATGGTGTCAAATTTACTGACATCAACAGTGCAAGCACATAAAGAATTTTTTTGGGCTGTCTTTAGTTTAATGACCTTGAAATGATATCTCTTATGAACACAGTATTTAGTTATGTGCACAGTGACCCAAATGCCTTAATTTACAGTGCATACAATATACCTGCTTAAAATCTTAGTGAAAAATTTTAAAAGGAGATGCATATTCATTCAGAATTAAACACTGTCATTTGAAAGGTTAACAATGAATTGAAAACAAAGTGACACCATCTTAAAATGATAATCAATGAAATACAGCAAAAGGTTATTAACAATGAATTGAATTAAACACTGTCATTTGAAAGGTTAACAATGAATTGAAAACAAAGTGACACCATCTTAAAATGATAATCAATGAAATACAGCAAAACTCGGTTATAACGAAGTCACAGGGACCTATGAAATTACTTCGCTATATCCGTAATTCGTTATAAACGACTAAGAAATTAATTTAATTAATATAGGTGGGGATCCAAAATGACTTCGCTATAACCGTGAATTCGCAATATCCGTGTTCGTACTAAACGAGTTTTACTGTATACAGAAAAAAATCTTAACTATCTTTCAGATTTGTTTAATTTATTCCCCCATCAAATATATTTTTGCATTACAGTGATTTCACTAAAATATAAAATTGTAAAATAGCATTTTGCATAATATTGTGTTGCATTATAATTGTTTTAATTGTCAAGAGTTTTTTTTTTCTAAATGGCAGAATGTATATAAGTGAGAAACCCTTTTGGATTAAACTGTAACGTGTCCTGTTCTCATAAGCTTCTATATTCTATATTTTTGATTAAAAAAATCTGATAAACAGAGTATCTAATATTTGTGTATCAGAAACTTTAAAAAGTGCTTAAACTTCAGAAGTACATGACATTTCACCAACCTAACAAGAGTACAACCACTAGGAGGAAATGGATTTCAGTGTCAGGCATTATATGAAGTTACAATTCTCTGCTATGAGTTAATAATGAATACATGTAGGTTTGACTTACATCATGAGCAGGACTGGAGCTAGAAGTTCGGAGGTGTTGAGGAGATGATGGATGTAAGATCGAGTAAAATTCTGACAGGTGTAACATGAACAACCTGGAAGGGGGGCCTGGAAATCCTCAAACATGCTGAAAAAAAAAAATTAAAACCTCCTGATGTTTATGCCTTCTCTTTTAATATGCAGAATTTAAAACCTGACTTATCAGACCTTTGCAGTTTTTTTTATCAATAGAAACAAATAATTAAACAAACAAACAGGGACTTTTTCTCCTCTACAATCATTATTCTCTTTACCAACCATTCATGGCCTCGGTAATATGACTTGAATAATGACCTTGATATTTGTCAAAAGTACATGTATGTCCAATAAAAAGGACAGTGATCTCATTTTAATTAAAAACATTTTAAAAGTTGTTGTCTTCAAAAAATGTAATAAATATATCATAATTTGAAACTGTTCAAACCAAAGTCAAAAACTGTAGCCTCCAGACACATATAAACTTGACATTCCTAGATGACCTTGACCCTTCTGAATATAATACTTTTAAATACTTTTAGATCAAAACAAAATTTCTTAAGCTGGATAACAAAAAGCAATAGCTTCATTTTATTTTATAGTCAAGGGTCCAAAGAACACAATTTCCCTTGATACCCATTGACCTTGACCTTTGTTTTCATTCTTTATTACAAATGCTCATATCAGGATCAAAATGCTATGAAGAATTTTGGGTTCATGGAAAACAATGTACAATCAGGGCATAAACAATACCGAGTATGTCTATTTCACTTACCAACTAGTGGAAAGCCATTTTTTTAATATTTAAATTATAGAAAGTTGATGTGTTTCCTATCCCCTTGCCAAGGATTAGGGATAGATATCACACAACTTATGGAATAAATACCTTATCCAACTGCAAACCATGCAAGTTTCTATATTTACAAATAATCCATGATAAAATGATGCAGAAATGTGTATGAGAAAGGTAAACCAGTGTACCACTCATTCAGTTCTTCAGAATGTATATAATCAGAGTTTGGGGAATTTGTATACATGTATACACTGAACTTGTGCAATCCTCAGATCACTGAGCCAACAGTCTGGAATTCCACTCTACTCTCTGCCTCTCTGTAACCACCTGTTGCTTACCTTTTATCTTTGAGTGAGATTTTATACCCTCTTGATGACCCAGCCTCTTTCTCATTTTCAGGATTCTTGTGGTAATTAAAAGAGAAGACAAGGGCTTCACCCCTATCTGTTACCAACCAAGGGTAGCTTAGACAGTTAAGTAGTATATTCACAGTGTTGTATATTTATGGGAACATTTACTCATAATTTTGCCTGTGTATATGTGGATTTGCGGCAGTGTACAATTTTAATTTGGCAGGTGTACCAGGGTACAAAGTTCTCTTAAACTTACTTGAAGAATTTTCAGTCCTGACAGGTTGAATTTTACCAAATAAAGACTGCTTTTAAAATTCTTCAATAAAATAATCCAAGTTGTAATTAATGGAAAATTAAACTTGTCTTCCCTTTATTAGATATTCAACAATTTCAATATATCTTAAAAAGTTAACTGTGAATTTGAAAATGCAAACTGCAAACTATTATGCTTCTAACTGGAACCTTCAATTGTTTTTCCTTATATTCAGAACATGAAAACAAATGTTTTCTGGTTTTCACTTTACATTCATAATAAACTGACACTTTTAGAACATATTTCATTGTGCTGACCTAAATTTTGCTCTTCAAATTGCTTTCAGAATGAATGATGATGAAAATATTACCAGCCACAATGTTACTTTCTAGAGTAAATATTGATGAAGTATGTGAATGGATGGTAACCACAATTGTTTTTTGTAAGGATACCAGCTGTCAAATATATCAATGCCAAGCTCCATCGCCATAACAACCTGATCAGGTGACCAAACAGCATGCATTAATCGGGGTTTTTCTTCTGGTAAGTTTTCCTGGATTTAAGAAGTAAATACAATCAGAAGAATAAACTACTCAATAAATAATTAATTATCTTGGACTTTTTTTTTCTCTTAGGAGCATATTTCCTTCTTTGAGATTTAACACATACATATACAGTGTATCTGGTATACTTATATACTCTAGCCATTAAACATCCATTAAACCATGGGTGTGAAATTTTTAGAATCTTATGTACTTACAAAAACAACTTTACATATATCTTTTATCTCTTCCACATTAAAGTTGTCATTTTTCTCACTCTGGGCATAAAAGCCTTCTATGACGAATCCTGCAAAATTAGAACATTTACTGAAAATCAGATGTTCCAAGAAAGATAACTCCAAGATATTCCAAGAAAGGTAATTTCAAGGGATACAAAAGTAACTCACCATCCACATCCCTGGAAGCAGTCTCTCTGGCAGATCTTTTCCTCTCCTCCTCATTAAATCCACCCTCAATACAGCCAAATATACTGACATCCTTAAGTCTCTAAAACACATGAAACAAAGCATTATAAACTCTGAATTCTTGTTTCAGCATCTAACCCTGTAAATCTACCAAAGTCAATATTCATTTTACATTTTGCCTTTCATGTATCTATACATGTATTATGCTAATTTTAGTACACTAGCTGTTATACAGCATATCTATAACTTGATGCATTTATCAAAAGATGGATTTCCTTTGTTTACACTTTTTTTCACTAATTAAAAATACTGAAGGATATACTGGTACAGTCTGTATATGTCTTTGAAAAAAATGTCTAAAGTTTGACCATTCCTAAGTTTCAGAAGCAAATGATATCCTATTCATCTCTATCTATTCTTAGGTTAAATAATTTAAATGATAGACCTCTGATTTTTTATGGAGCTCCAATATCGTGTCAAGAAAGTTGAGTGTCCTGTCCACTGCTTTCTTAGCTCGCTTGTTCCCCGATTTCTTGTCAGTATCACTGTCAGAGAGAGCCTGGTAGAATGCTGGACGAAAAGCCTCCTGACATTTAATGAATTGCTGGGGGTCTATCTACAAGAAAAGTTCAGATCTGGATGTATTATCTTATGAAAAACAAAAAAGGTATAACAAGTAGATGGCAGATTCCCTGTGATAAAAAACCCCCCAGTAAATTCACAGAATATTGTAAACAACCATGTACATGTAGATAGTTTATTAATAAATACATGTATGAATATCATGAATAAATCATATAAGATTCCTTTCAGAACTAACCAGTTTCTTTCCAGCCTTGTTCCAGACAGCAGTTCCAGCCTTTGTGTTGTATCCTGAGGGAATCTCCACTCCAGTGTCATGTACAGAGATATATGACAAGAAATCCTGCAAAATAAAAAAAAATAGTCATCATAGAGCAACTTAACTTAATATACAGTCTTAATATACATGAACAAAAGTATGACAGACAAAATAGATAACCGCTTACTAATTTAATCAGAATTTAACAATTAATAAGTCTTAAATGATCGATTCTTATATGAGTATTCAAGTGATAAATTAAAATAGCAGTGTAGATTGAATTTACCTAGGTACACAATATTTTATTATGAATAATCATAATAGGATTGGGCAGTAGGCACTGCCTATATAAGTCCTCTCCATAATTACAAGGTCAATGACATTCATGTTAATGTACAAATAAACATTGGCAGTGTAGATAACAAAAAGTAAAATAAATCTAATTTTTCAGTATGTTTTCATAAGATAGTTTTAAAAATGTTAAGACTGCAGAACATTAACTGGCAAGATTGGAAATATACAGCTTATGTCATTTCTGTCTGTTACAATCAAAACATTCAATGATAGACAATAAAATGGGTGGTACAATTCAACGCGGACATGGGGAAAACATTGGATTGAAATTCCAGTTTGAAATTCATTTTCAATCCACCTCAGCTACGCTAGAACAGAAGGCACATTATAATTACTGATTGACCCAGAAGACAAATAATTCCAATTTTGAAAATAGTATATAAATCAGAATTTTCTGTCCACCGTTTTAAAACAATATATGAAGGGACAAATATTTGATTTCTACTTGGTATAATTTATGTATGTGTGCGTTGGAGGGGGAGGGGGGATTAATGATCTTGGAAATAAATATGAAAGCTGTCAAACTTTTTTTCATTGAGGACAAAACTAAAAAAAGCTCTTGACATCCTAAAAATTAATTGGTATATACAAAGCATGATCTGACTCAACAATTTTTGACCCCCCTTCTAGAATCAAATGGCCGTCTCCTGAAAAAAATGTCTTAACTATGACTTTTATCAGTGTCCTAAGACTATATTATAGGCTAATAAACTCATATCAATATAACTTTCAACCAACATGTATTTTGGAATTGAAATTATTGTCTTTTGGATTATACATTTATATTTTGCTTTTGAAAACATCTCAGGTGGATTGAAAATGAATTTCGAACTCAAATTTCCCCATGTCTGCGTCGAATTGTACCCGCCCATTTCTTTGTCTATTATTAAATGTTTTGATTGTAACAGATAGAAATGACGTAAGCTGTATATTTCCAATCTTTCCAGTTAATGTTCCGCAGTCTTTTAATACCTTCATTGCTGTAAATCTGGAAATGCCTTGTTGAAATTTCTCTACTGCTTCACAATGGTCTGAGCTGAGGGGAAATAAACATTTTATATACATTTAAAATTAAGTTGATGATTTCCTAATTATTAGTGCAATCAAAATAATATCATATCATATGGAGAATGGTGAAAAAATAGACATTAATTTAAAAAAAATAGGCATATAACTTTTTTAACAGATATAAAGGATACTTACAGAGAGGATAAATGCATGTGTGCTATGGGAGGCAACTTTTCTATTCTCTTCAACATATCGATTGACAACCATGGAGCACTTCCTAAAGAAACATGTATAATAGATAACTTTTATTATTACCTAACCTACAATATAAATTGTAATTAGGCATTTTGAACTGTTTCACAGTGTATTTTATGTTTTTGTGTGATCATGAAATAGTCGAACTGTTGAGCGGGTCACAGAATGTACTGTTGCCTGTTTAAAGCGTCAGAAAAAAAACGGCCTCAGGCAACAGTTTTCCAGGTCTTCCCCACTACCTCGGCACAACAGTTTGACTGTTTACCTCGTAGTCATTAAATAAGTGTATATTGTAACTAGTTCAGTTTTTCTTTTACTTAACATACCATGCATAAATCTCTTTTATCAGTTAATGGGGTTTTCATCACTGTTTATGGTTCTACAAGGCCATGGCTTAGGCATTTTCAACAGGTCCAGTCCAAAGACTATTTCTACCTACATAGCTATTAATACATGTAGCTACGTAGGTATTTAAACCTACTAAAAGTAGTTATTTCTACCTACTTTTTGTATTATCTGCATTTTGTGGCCAAAAAACTGAACGACACAACATGGTGAATAACATATTTTTTAATACATGCAGTCAGACTAATGATGAAAAAGACAAAATTTTGGCCAAAAAATGATTACTTCATGAATCAGCAATTTTACATTATTTTCTATGCGAAATTGATAATATACGAAAGTATCATTTTTTGGCCAAATTTTTGTTATATCCATCATCAGTGTGACTTTATAAAGGAATTTTGTGCTCAACATTTTGCGCTGTTCCTCTATTTGGCCACAAAATGCAAGTAAAGCAGAAAGTAGGTAAAAACAAGCTATTTTGGGTAGGTTTAAATACATACGTAGATATTAATAGCGAGCTCAGTGAGCGTTGCGCTCCTCATTGCGAGCTCTAACGACAACACCTGGGCAAAGAGAAAATTCGGACTACTGCACATTCATTAGATAGAATTTTTTTCCGCAGTAATTTTGACCCACAATGCAACACTTAGTACACAAAAGCTAAAGTAACGTTCTCACGAGAAAAACAGCAAAAGTTAAACAAATAATGAACTTGCCTTAATTGATTTAATGAATTTATTGCAGAGAAATAGTAAATAAAACGAATCGATCTTCCTTAAAATAAGCCCTATTCAGGCTTCAGTTTGGTAAAGCAACATGCATATGATACTTGGAGTTCCTCGGATGACTCGTACCTCGCATATCATGAATGAAGTGTGGCGGAGTCAGCCGAGGATTGTCATATGGCGTCATGTGACATCATAGTCCAATTGTCACGTGTGGTTTGACGAGCCCAATCTAAATGAAAACTGAATAAGTATCTGCACTGGCCCTAACAGTCGCTCCGTCAACATATTAGCTATGTAGGTAGAAATAGTCTTTGGACTGGACCTGTTCAAAGTACAGAATCGGTGAATGATAGTCGATTTCATATACGAAAAGTCAAACGAAAACACCAATCACGATATACATGTAATGATGTATAAACCCTATGAAATAATTTGTATCTCTTGGCTATAGCATATTCAGGTAACTCACCCTTCTTAGTGTATAACATACACATGGGAGTCTCAACTTCCCCATTATTTCCATCCTCAGCTGCTCTTTGAAATGACAGAGTTCCTAGGCGGCAACCACGCTGTTTAACACTTCGTAAAGAAAACTGCATCATATGTTGAAATAAAGTGCAATTTTCTCTAAGAATATTTGTAGACTACACAAATTCGGTACTTGGCACGCGTATTGACAAAATGAAAGTAGGTTAGGTAGCTAGGTTGGACTAATTGAGACAAAGGCACAACCAAGAGTGAAGAACAGATATTGAGCATTGTTAAAATATTGAAATTATAATCATCCCAAATATTGTAAAAATATAGTCATTTAAAACAAATATCAGATATTTAAAATATATAGTAATTTTGAATCAAATATTCCAAATTATAATAAATTTTTTTTTCACCCATTCTGTCGTAAATTAGTAAGATCATTTTTCTACCAAATTAATCTTCTCTGCAGAAGAGTTACTGTAAATATTTTTATTTTGAAAATGGTTAATCATGTAAACTTTCCTCAGAATTTAACAGAAGAGGAGCTTATTTTGAAACAAAAATATGCAATTCTGAAAAAGAAGGTGACTTTTGCTTGTTTTAGGATTATGTGTTGTTTTTCTTGATGTCTGTGTGGTTTTAAAAAATAACATTCAATAAAAAATTCCATGGGTAGGCCTTACCCTGTTACTTGCTTAGTACTTACCTGATGTTGATCTTGCTTGTAGGTTTTTCATGTAAATTTTCAATTTTTATCTTAATTCATTATTCTCGGTAATCTTGAAGACTAGATACCAGAGTTCTTGAAATCTTTTTTCCGCTGTCAGTCATTTGGACCGACTGCCTTGTTTCTATCAGTCAAAAAAAAATTAAATAAAAAGATGAAAACTTTTTTTCGATTTTATTATCAACACATTGTGCATCATGTTTCAATAAACACTGCACACTTCATGCTAATTTGATTGTCGATTTTCTTGAATTATCTTGGGGTCGATTTTCTATATAGGTTTTTAATCTAGTTTGATTTTCTCGCTTGGCTTACCGTAGCACCGTCAACAAACCTGTTTTATCAGTTTACCAATCAAAGTTTGACACTTGATTGACACAAGATTGCAGAAAAGAGTTTGAAAGATTATGATCGGACGTTATAGGGAATTCATAAGAAATTTAGTCAGATTTTGCGCAAGTTCCTCTGTCAACATTTACCAGTCATTTGGACTGACACAGAACGCAAAGTAATCGGTCCTTGGTTGTTTCCCTCTTGTTAATTGAATGGCTATTTTATTAGTATAAAGGAATTTAACACTTTTTCAAAATATTTTACAGAAAAAGGCACTGCAGGCAATAAGAACAGCCAAACCAGAGAGAGAACAACCACAGGCAGCACCTGCTAAAAGACGTTAGTAAAAAAAAATTTACCAGTAAAATAAACCAGCAAGGCAACAGATTACTGCCAAACTTGCAGATTTTTGTACAACTATTCATTTACAAAGAACTATATTCCTGTTGATTATGCAAACTAAAGAGTAATTTAGAAAGATTTTTCCCCTGAATTTGCAAAATCCATAAGGCAAAAACAGAAGGTTTATTGAATATAATTTTGCATTGATGTTCCAAAGCAAAAATTGAAATGAGTGAACATTCAAGTTTGTGCGAGTAAATGTTTCAATACAATGAAAGAAAAAAATACAATGATGTTATTTTCTTTATAATGTTTCAAACTTGCTAAAGAGGAAAACAGAAAGGAAAGTCTTATGATTAAAAATGTAGTACATGTACATTAACTTAATTTTTTTAATTATTTGTTATAGCTGCAGCAGAGTCAGCAGAAGATGCCAAAGAACAAGCCAAGAAACTTCTCAAGTCAGGGGTAATGAAGCTTTATCAAATTTTAAAACATTAGAGTGTAATTAGAATGTGAGATGGGTTATGTGTGCATGGGATCAGTGGTTAGGGAAGTTACATGGTTAGCAGGAGTACCAGGGTTTGAGTTCCATCATGGCTTACAACTTATTTTGTTGCCTTTATATTGGTGGCAAATAAAAAACGGGCAGCATAATACTGCACATATATTTAGGTATACAGCCTTAAAAAAATTGTGCGGGGATTTGTCAAAGTATTTGGTAGCTCAGTGGGTAGAACTATGTACAGTGAAATATATGTCCACTTGAAAATGTAAAATGTTATATACATGACAACATTCTTTTCTACCAGTTGTATTGATAATTATAATAATTTTAAAATTAATAATAATGCTACTAGATGATAGTTATTTTTTTAAATGAAATTTTAGAAACTCATACATGCATAGAATCATAGAGAATATTAGGAATTAGAAGCATATGCTTGCATTTATATACATGACACAGTCATAATTAGACTCATAAATCATAATCTTTTACGCTTCTTCATCTTGTATTCCTTATTTTCCAGTCAATAAAAATAAAAGTGGATAATGAAAAACAAAGTTTTAAACGTTCGAAAAACCAAGAGAGAAAATTAAAGGTAAGAATATTTCTAGAAATTTAAAGAGTAAACATTTTTCCATTATCTTGGAAAGAAAAAGCAACTGATTTAGTCTTTATTTCTTGTGGAAATTTATCTGATATGGATTCAATAATATCTATATTTGTTTTTGTGTTTTTCTTTAGGATCCTGAAAAGACCCCAACAGCTGTTGGATTTCAGCCATTTGCAGCTGCACATCCAGATGAAGAAGATAAAGAGGGAAATGTAAGGAAACTTATCAAACAATAATGTTAGAATGTTTCCCTTGCATCAGCGAGGTCTATTATTAAAGAGGTTTCTTCCTTCTTTTCAGAAGTCCTCCCAGAGACCAAGGATGAGAGGCCTGTATGACAGCTTTGTCAGTGGGGGTAATCTACCTTTCTTAAACATTGTATTTTCTGTCTTTATTATTTCACAGGGAAGGAGGTTTGTTTTTGTCTTTAATGTTGTACTCTCTCTATCTCTATCTCTTCTTCTCTCATGCTAAAATATTTCAGGTATTGTACAAACTTTATGTATCTCTTTAGTTGTTCAGTTTAACATGGTACTCAAAAAATGTCTGCATAAATCCCTATGAGTCTTTTGAGTAAAAGACAGAGACTATAAAGGATTAACCCTATGTAGGGAGAATATAAACAAAAATGTATCTTAAATAATTTGCATATTTGATTTTAAAAAATCCAAGATTATACTAGTTTATGATCTTTGCAACTTCTTGCATCATTCAGTAGATAAACTTCAGCAGTTGTATTAAAAATCCTTTTGTTATGAACCTTTAAAATTGACATTTATCAATATTCTCTGCATACACAACTATTAACTGTCAAAATTTGTTTAAAGGTTATGATCGTGACAGAGAGGAGAGAAGGGAGGAAAGAAATCAGCAGGAAAGACGAGACAGAGATTACGACTTACCCAAGAAAGGCAACACCATCTACGTCAACGGACTCGGTATCACTGAGGAAATTCTCAGGAAAGCCTTCTCCAACATAGGAACTATACTCAACATCAATATGGAGAGAGACAAACAGTAAAGCCTATCTTGTTAATTATTTTTAATCTTTTATATAGGTACTAGAATGTGTATATAATACAGAAAGCTTTCATAGTCTGTATCATTCAGTCTTCTTGATGAGCCAACTTTTGCTCCTTTATTTCTGGAACATTTAGAAAATGTATCATAGATTATATTTTGGGTTTATAATGTACCTCTTGTTTCAGCGTTGGGTTTGTGACATTTGAAAGAATGGAATCTGCAGACACAGCTATAGCTGAGGTATTTATTTCACTGCTATAGTATACTTCATAGTTAATAGATAAGTATAAGTAGAATTTTTAGCAAGGAATTAATTTTGGCTTTATAAGTGAGGGTGCTCAGATCGCTAAATATTTATTGCATTTTATTTGTAATGGCTTCTTTAGTGAGCATTTTAAAATCGCTGAAATTACTTATCGCTAAAAATAAAATACCGATTTTGAAGGAGAAATTGCTAAATTTGCGTCTTGCTAAAATTTCCACTTATACGAGTCCTTTTTGATTTGAAATGTTTTACCACATTTGGGTCATTGCTTGTTTTGTAGGTGAATGGTGCCATGGTGGAGGGAATCCAGCTAAAGGTGACAATGGCCAGAAGACAACCTTCTTTTGATCAGAACACTGACCAGTCCACAAAATCATGGTCATCAATAGGTAAAAATAGTTACAGAAAGACATAGGTCTATAAAAAGACTGACCAGCATAGCAATAGCAATAAAAGGTCAATCAACTACATGTATTTGAAAAAGAATTGTCTAAAGTTTTAGGAGTAAGTCCATTCCAAGTAACTCTAAGCTCTTCCTGGACAAAATATGCATGGATGATGCATCTAAGGTTACACAATACCAAACAAACGTAGATGCTGATTTGACCTACATTTTCCAGATGAGTGACCAGTTTAAAGTTTTAAGAGCAGGTTCATTATCAAGAAACTATAAGCCCTATAGTGATATAACTGGATAATGCATCCATGCAAGGACGGACTTGTAGCAGGTCCATCTCCAATCTTACACTGATAAAACTTGTTTAGATGTTGCAAATAAACATGCTGCAGTGCACAATGTCAGAACGTTTTTCTTTCTGACAATTTCATTAGTTTTGACGTGGTTGATAGAATTACACAATATGATGTAAATGTTTATTTTTTAGCTGCCAGTAACTCCCAGAAGAGCTCATACAAAGACAAGAGAGAAGTGGTCAGTTATGATGCTGATGACATCTTCTGATCACCTCAGACATTTCAACTTGACAAACAGATACTAATGTGCTGTGATCACAAAAGAATAAGAATTCTGTGTTCACTGATGATCAAGTTTATTCTACCTCCTGTTTGTGAAACAAGAAAAATAACAAAAAGCAGATATTGAAAGAAATTTGCAGAAACATTGAATTCTCAAAAAATGTAAAGCGTAGCATAGTAAAACATCATTGTACATTCAGAAGTATATTTGATTAATTTGTATGTATATTATACATACAAGTAACATAAATAGCATTAATCAATATCAAGGGGAAAAAAACCAATCATTATGAAAAAGTGGTTGCTGTTAAGAAATTTGAAATTTATTAAGAGATGCAAAATGTAATTGATTTGTTTTTTAATAAAGTTATGAATGTTGCTGATAAACATATTTGTGTAATTGATTTTTTTTTACCAATAATTATATTTTTTTGTAGTAGGTAATTTAAAAAATATTGACGAAAGTCGGAAAATTACTTAAATTCTTCTTAAGATTAGAGAAACTCAAATAGTAATACATGTATTAATAGGAACTAGTGAATGAAATATAGCTTAAATAGTACCATAGATCTACAGATTTATATGGATTACAAGAAACACTTCTTTAATAAATGTAAACAATCTACAAGATGACTATCTGAAATCTTACAATATTTCATGTTACAATGTAGCTTATGTTTTGTATATTTGCAAATATGTATTTATGTATACTGAATTCTCAAAAATATTTTTAAAAAATAAACTAAATACCAAAATAATAAATACATTTGTACACAAAGTAATGCTAAATATAAAAGAATGCTTTGGGAGGGAAAAAAAACTAAATGGGCGGAATGAAATATACCATCACAAAAATGGAGGGAATATGAATAATAAAGCAGAATAGTAACCCAACCTTAGAGTAAAAAAAATCACAGACGAAAAGCAAATACCATGGGACAAATCATTTCTGTAAGGATGGCTACTCATAAATGTTCATCATTCTGAATGAACAAAAAAAGATCAAAATAAAGCAAACAAAACAATCCACCAGGATGAGTTCAAAATAATAGATTTAAAAAGAAAATATTCCCACAACTGATAGTGTACAAGTTGCTGCAAAATTAAAAGAAAAATAAAATACCATACACAAAAAAAATAATTGACTAGATAACAATGGCATCGTTTTGTACAAGTTCTCAGATCTAAATGTGCTTCATGATTTGTATGACTGCGATAAATACAGAGTAAAACAAAACAAACACAATATATGCACCATCAAAATAAAGTATAATTAGCACATCATTGTAAGCAAAGCTCTTGGAAAAAAATGTAAAGATGATACCCGATAATCTTTAATTCCATTCGAGTCCTGTGAGAAGACCACACTAATATAAGAACTTCTAAATTGTGTAAAAATACTAACATCAATATATTTATAGTGATTTACATTCCTTGGGCAGTGCACACTGGTTTCATTTTACTTGTATATATATAAATATAAAAGCAGATTACGATGTGCACAAAATTTTATCGAACAGTTCCACAAATACCTTGTAACAGAATTTTAGTCCAAAATATCTTATAAATGTATTTGTAAAGCTTAAATTTATCTGTTACATGTATATTAATGATTCTATGGGTGAAATGAAGCACTTGGGAAGCACAGTAGCAATATTATTTTTTGAAATATAAGATGTATACTGAATGTGAAGAAAGATTTATCAATGTCAAAAAATTCAACTATCCTTGATAATACAAGTATGTGTTGAGAAAATATCCAATTTGAAGTACAGGTATAATAAGAAGGATTCTTAATATGGCTAAGAAGTTGGTGTGCTTATTCATAATCATCATCAAAAAATAAAACCTGTACAACATACCCCCTCCAAGTCCTGAACTCCTTGGGAGTGATACATCAAGCTAAAAGGCTTGTGATATCAAAGTTGAAGTTAAGTCAAAACCACAGATCCACTATACATGTATTAATTTTGAATTACATTTGTATTTAATAAATGACCAGGAATTTTAGTGCTCTCCGATTGGTCTAGACGCCTTTTCCTGAGATGTACGTCAGAGTGAGTTCACCTCATATGAGGTTTATTCGGGTTTTCCCTCCTGACCAACCATATATTTGCTTAGTTTTTTCGACCAATCAGATTGCGGGTTTCAAAGCATGTGTCGGTGTGAATGTAAACATGTCAGACGCCAGTACCAAGGAGATTAAACGCTTTTGAAAGTAAATGGTTGAGTATTTATTGTTTAATAATATTGTTTTCAATTTTTAACTACTAGTTGTTAATTAGATAAGTCGTGACAATTATATTATGGGTGTTTTTATTTGATGGAAGACAAGATTGAAAGTATCAAAAGTGTTGTAAAATTCCTGATCATTTAATAAAACGGTTATTGACTTTTGAATTTGGTCTACTCGTGACTATACAGACCTGGTCAGGTGTTGGTTAACCTTGACCTTCGGCCTCGGTCAACCAATACCTGACCAGGTCTGTATAGTTACGAGTAGACCTCATCAAAAGTCAATACTTGTATAATGTTAAAGTGTACTTGTATAAATACTTGAATCAGATAATTTTGCCATGTATATCAAATAACAACATAACATATTTTGGATCAATGACATACTCCTTAAATATCTAGCCCAGCATTCACAGATTCAAATCACTCCACAGCAAGTTATCATCAGGTGGTGTGCCTGTCATGTGATTTGATCATGTGACTGTTTACACCACAGGAAGTCCCCAGCATGTGACATGTCTATCAGCACTGGTGCTAGTGAAGGCCAGTTGTGTTGGGTGCCAGCGACATTGAATGACCTTGTCTTCATGTTCTGCAACCACCACACTGGGCAATGGCCTAAGTAGGTCACCTGGATAAAATACATACAAATGTATATAATATCAACCTTATCAGATAGATTCACAATGTGTACGATGATATCAATATCAGCCGGGACTTATAGATTTAGTACATTGTAGGATAAATTATCACCTCCAACAAATATTAATACATTTTGATTCATAGATTTATTACTTCAATTTCATTAAAATAAAATTTCTTTTGGTACTTTGGTAATTTTGGTAGAAAAATTGTCATTTTTATCTGATTTTATTCCTACCATGCATGTCTGTCATGATGATCTTCTTGTCATATGATCCACTCAACAGGTAAAAAGCATTCATGGAGAATCGTACTGTACGACACTCCCCGGTGTGAGGGCGGAAGCTCTGAATTCCCCGCGAACCTCTGATGTCATACAGCATCACACTCCCATCCTCATGACCCGAGGCCAAGAGACGACCCGAGGGGTCAACACACACTGACGCAAAAGCACTTCCTACCAAAAGTAAAATTGTAATTTTAATCTAATATATTTTAACAATCAAATATACTCTATTTCTCCCAGAAACTTTCCCCAGAAAAGAAAAACTAAAAACAGAGTCTTAGAAGAGGATAGTGAAGTTCTGTCTCTATATTGATTCATTATAAGAACATTGTCTACATTACCTGTTGAGCTGGGGACCACTGTAATAGCAGTAGAGGCCCTGAGGTCCCAGAATCTTGCTGTCTTGTCTGCTGACCCACTGACAAACATACAACCACCCCAGGTATGCAGGGAGTACACATGTCCTGAAGTAGGCGAGATGTTATTGAAGCATTAAAGCTCACCACACAGGTAGCATCAATATAATCAATATCAAATTTTTTTAGTACAGTCAAACATTGTTTTCTGGATTTCATGTAAGCCAGAAAATAACTTTGAGATATCCATTATATGTTGAGACATTGAGGTTGAAATACATAAAGGAAAAGTGATTTGGAATTCAACTCATTTTGAAATATCCCTATTACATGTTTTAACTATGCTTTTGGTACATATCAATAAGACAAATGAAATCTATGAAGGGAGTAAAGTACAGTCAATTCTCGAATTATTGCCATTCGATTCATCGCCATTTTCGCAATACCGCCATGATTTCCCAAGAACGTTTTTCCTGATATATAAAATTCTCTTTATAACACCAAATTTGCATACCGCCATCCGCCACCCTGTTTTCACAACAAACATCCATTTTTAAGTGTCAATTATCACGATATACCGCCACAGGTGCATGTGGTCAGTGAAGCGCGGCTAATTAGTTGACTCTATTCCTGTTGTAAAGCATGCAAATGCAGACAAGGTACATGCAATTAAGTAATTAAACAAGAATTAGAAAAACAATAATTCTAACATGAACTGTTATAATAATTTTGTTTTCTGTTTAATAAAATCATTTAGTCATGGCTTCGCCAGGAAAGCGGTCGTTGAAAAGTACGCCGATAACAATATTATTTTGATCTCTGCTTTAAACAGTGCAACGTTTGCTGGAAAAAATAATTATACGGTATAAATTGTGAACGTTCCATCAACAATGATACCATAAACAATGAACATATTCAAGAATTCATTTTACTTATTATCGGCAATATATGATGCAACACATATTTGCATTTACTTTCATATACAAATATTTGTCTTTATTTCATAACTGCACATTTTGTTTTAGCGAAATTGTACATTAAAAAAATTACTTAAAGTATTTTCAATCAGAAATATGTTTTATATACATGTACATGTAATAATAAGAATAGAAACGCTAAATGGTATTTCTAAGAATGATAACTCTACCTCTTGTTTTCTAAAAGATGGGAAATTCAATTCATCGCCAAATTCGTTATAAAGCCATGATTTCTAAATTACAAAAGGTGGCGGTTTATCGAGAATTAACTGTAATGTATTTTGTTAACACTTATTACTGAAAACAATGATTTTCGGCACTCTTCATACCTGAGTGTCCTGCCATGGCTCTGACTGGCATCCCTGTCTCACAGTCTGTCACGTAAATCTTACAGTCCCCTGCCCCTCCACTTATCAGGAGAGATGACCTATTTATTGTGTCCTGCATAAAGACAATGTCCCTCACCGTACCGTCATGGAAGGACAACTCCATCTCAGGACCTACAGGTACAATACAGACAGAAAAGATTAACCCAATCACTGAAAACAGAACTAATGGCAAGAAAACAATACCACACAGATACCCTCAATTATTGGGAAAACTTTTAATTAACTTTATTCTTTAACTTAAAAGTTTACAAGTAATAATGCAACAATTATTCTTGTGTGTTGGAATACCTTGTGAGTTCATATCCATGTTGTACTGGAACATTTTGATGGTTTTGTCATTTGAACCTGTGGCTAGGAGGTCCCCCATTGGACTCCATGCTACACAGTAGATTGAACCTTTATGGTGTTTGTGTTTGAGGTACATTGTCTGTGTTTCAAAGGTCTGGTGATTCTCACTGAAAGACACAAATTTCTTTCTTGAGAAGAAGGCATCCGAAGTCCTCTATCAGAAATAACCCTTTAAGAATCATGTTTCTTGTTCTTATGGGTGTTTTATCGTACCTCAGATTAGAGACATCTGGGAAGGCACACACTCTCAGAGTTTTGGAGTTAGAGCCCACAGCAAACATGGTTCCAGATGGATGGTAGGCCACAGTTCTGATGGCCTGAATGTCCTCCAGAGTACAGATGGGGACAAACTTGGGACTAGAAATCTTCTGATCTCCAATCTGGTAATGTCAAGATAAACTTTACATACTATAATATATTTTTTTTGTCCCAACTGACAACATTTTTCAATGATATTTTTTTTTCAACTCTTAAACATTCTAGATCATATTTATGTTGTAAAAAATTAAATCATTCTATGTATTTGTACAAAAACTGAAATAAATTTTTGCAGAATTCCCTAGACTGGATGAAGCTATATGACTCTACTTACAATTCCTGCCTGACTGACTGGTCGGGGTGTCTTTTTGGGACTCTGGGATACGACGGGTCCCACTGGTTTGGGTTCCACACCTCCACTGACAGCTGGTTTATTGTCTTGCAAAATTATAGCATATATTCAAAACAGGTCATACTATGGCTCCATTGAAGTTAAGCAAAGAGAGAGAGAGAATCAAAAACGAGTCATTCCAAAAGTTCGTAGACATTTGTCCTAACTTTTTTATTTAACGTCATATTATATCCAAAGTTGGTATACATATTTTAACAATTTGATTAAAAAAATTTGGAATATATCTTCATATTTATGAAAATTATCAAAGATTTAGAATAGCAAAAATGGGGTCACAGAGCAATGTCAAAATTGAGTAATTTACTAATTTTCACTTTATAGTCTCTATAGTCATACCTCTAATAAATGGAGTTTAATCAAAATAAAATTTACATGTTTAGATTAAGTCTTGCTGTATAACTTAAGATGCTATCAGGTAATGTAATCTATCACTCTGTTTAAAAGATATCAGTTTCTAAATACATATGGACTTGATTAAAAAAAGGTAAAAAACCTGACATTGCAGTACAGCCAGTAGCAATAAAATTTTGCTTTGCATTCGGGAAACTTCTTTAACAGAAGTAAAAAATTCTGTATAAACCAGGAAACGTATGAAAATGAGCCGTGTATTTGTATAAAATGGAAAATACAATTTTTGAGTGGTGGCGAGTTTAATCGGACGAGGGATGGTCTGCAAAGAAACAGGTTATAGTTAAAAATCTTGTCAAAAGAGTTAGGAATGTCATTAAACCTGATGTGTGCTTCACTGTTGTGGAACTAATAGAGTTACGTGGTTAAGAATTTGAAAACACTGACAATCTAGTTCAAAGCTATTTGGACAATTGTTAGCAAATTAAGTATGAAGTGTTAAAGGCCGAGGTTTTCAACCGTACGGTTTTCCTCAGGTAAGTTGGGTGTGGGGTGGAGCTTAATCGAAGCGGCTGAGAAGCCCCGAGGGAACGACGCTGGATTGTGTATACTATCTATATACACAGGACGTTACCTGAGCCCCTGAATGTATTACCTGTACATGCGTTTTCCTACGACTTTGTTAACCGAGGACGTTTTTTTCACGTTTAGCTCATGAATTGAAATGCGAAATAAAGCATTTTTTGTTGCAGACAGAATCCTTCTCAATTTCTTTCTTTAAAAATAATTGATATTTTTCATAATTCGACATTTTTATATACAGTGTGTTTCTTAGTGAAGTGTTATAACGAAAATACATTTAGCACCTAAATCTGTCGTTGTATTCTGGCGACAAAAAGGGAAGTAATTCAAATTACACGTCGTCTACGCAAAAAGAAAGAAAAAAGTGAATCATAAAACAGTCTCTCGGTAAATAGCAATGAAACTTAGAAACGATGTTTTGAGAATAAAATGTTGAAGTAGAAATATTATTGTCTAAACAGATATCTTTTTAAGATAAACATACTTGATTTTTCCATAACGCATGGTCGGTAAAAATGGCCAGGGTTCGGACCGGGGTTGATTCCCCGACAGCTATGAAACGGGAATGGAATCATCTGCATCGTTTTTTTCTTTCGTGATTCATTATTAATTTCAAACATTAATACAAAGCGAGATGTTATATTCCGAGTAATTTCTCTTCTAAAACTTATTATTATACCGCAACTTCGTCACCATATCTCGAAGAAAAACGACACGTACAGGTTTGTCTTATAAATATAAATTCGCTTGACCATGTTGACACATGACCAATGTTACAATGTTGTCATACTTGTTTTAAAAAATAATTTTATTTAATTCCATGATACTAGCTTCAAACGCAGGTCGGTTTGCTGGAGGAATAAATGTACGTTAACTCATGTTTTGACACGGAAATTAAAATTATCGATTGTAATCGTAATATTGATATGAAATCCTCCCTTTTAAAATTAAATTTATAATATATATTATTTAGCCATGGTTTTTCTTGTCATTTATTTAATTATTTGAAAGATTGATTATATTTATGGCATATTCTTATGAATTAAAAAAGAAAAGAACGATTGCTTCTTTATCAAGTTGGCATGTGCGAACAAGCGCCTGTGCATGTGCGGTAGGCATCAAAAGCCTGAAAGTTAATTCGATGGTCGGTACGATCTCCAGACAAGGTACACAAGATATACACAACAGCAGCAAACTAAATGTCAATCAAATCAAAGTATCCAATCCCATGCTTAATTTCAGATGATTGACAGGGGTTCTAAGACCAGGTAAATTTGAAGGAGGTGCTTATTTCCTCCCCCTTTAACAGTGGCATAGCGTGCATCAAATATATGTGTAGGCACCATAAAAAATGAGTCGCGAAGCGCGGAAAGGGGGAAGATGCGGGAGGGGGTCACCCCCTCCTGCTGGGGGGATCTGGGGGACCTCCCCCGAGAAAATTTTGAAAATTAGACGCAAAATTAGCACTTTTGAGAAAAGAAAATTAATTTAAACAAAATATGTGGTGCTAGTTTAAAATTACTGTAAACCAACTTTTATTCGCGGGCGAGAAATTTTCACAAAGTTCGCGAGAGTCTGGTAATCGCGAATATTTCTCTTTGCAAACCAGTCCTTAAAGTATCTTTGTCTATTAACACCAGATCAAAAAAAATTTGATCGCGAAAATTAATCGTCGCGAACTAGTTTAACCCCGGTAAATCGCGAAATAAAGTCGTCGTGAGTAAAAGTTGGTTTACAGTATTTATTTTATCATTTTAGAAATTACCCCCAAAATGTATATCACATGTACATCAATGTACATACCAGTAAATCTTTATTGTAGTTAGAAAGAATTTATTAAGCAGATTACTATCTTTGGATACCCCTCCCCGTGATTTGAATATTTGGACACGATGATACATTTAGGCATTTATATTATTTGTTCTAAATTTAAATTAATATTTTCAAAAAAAAATGGTGTTTAACTAATACCCCTGTGTGTTGTCATTGTTTTGTAGAAACAGATAAATTTTACTGAGAGAGAGAGAGAGAGAGATCGGTCTGAGCCGATTTTAATATATCAGGAATGCTGCTGAGCGAACGGAAATATATGGGAAAGAAAGTTTTAAGGGATTGAACTGCATGTTAGTTTGATACTAAATTTCGGTTTAATTTGAACGGTAATACATTACACTAGAGTAACTTGGTTGGGATTAAAACATCAAATGGTTCCCACTTTGTTGTGAGAAACTCGAGTTTTTCTTTATTTGTCAAAGAGGATTGCAAGAATGTCCCAGGGTCTTTGTATGGGATACTCAGTTTGACTGCTAATGCCACTAAAAGAAACAAGACTGTAAATTAGGGAATAACTATCTTCTAATTTGGTATTTGCGACCGTTAATGCTGATTTAACGGTCGCAAACTGAGTTTTACCGGCGACGCGTAATGCGACCGTTAAATCAGCATTAACGGTCGCAAATACCAAATTACTCGTATTCTAATGCAATCCGTGCATTTTGTTTGTTGTTTACGTCTTATTTTGTTGAATTTTGTTACATGAAATACGTCACGGAGCATTGTGTTTTTGCGTCGCTCTATTATGACGTCACAATGAAAAAGCTTTCATGCTCGTTAATGCTCGTTTTACTGCTTCAAACACCAGTGCATTAGCCAATCAAAACACGTTTTACAAAACAATTGCATTAGAATTTATGTTTTACAGCTATAAAATAAATATGCAGAATTTTATTTTTAAAATTTATTTATTATTGACCAATTAATTTATTTCATTGATTTATTTTTTTAAAAACATGACCGTCAATTTTGCCAAAAATTATGTGTAGGCATTGTTTTGCCTTTTTGCCTTAATGGACGCTATGCCACTGGTTAACGATACGTTTTTAATTTATGAATGGAAAAGTCGCAACAAACCGTGTGTGAAATTAAAAAGCAGAGCAATTTTGAGAAAATTTCTCGACATAGTTGTTGACATTACAATGTTGGTTAACCGCGCTCCGTGGTAACAAAACATGTTGCTTTAAAAATTGGCTAACATGGGTTCTATTTAATCGAATGGAATGAAACTTCACACTTCGACAAATTACGTTTTTATTTACGAAAATGTGTTGATCTATAATCTTGTAATAATTATAATAATAATATGATGAGAAACACTGTCTACGTATTTTTTTAATGACTCTCGTATATATTCCAAATATTATATTTTCTCAGAAAACTTGCACATTTTACTGTTCTTCATAAGCTTAAATACATTTCAACATACTCTTTTAATATAAACAAGTTACTCTGTCTCCCTTCCCAAAAGGAGAGTGATTACCTGAGCACTGATATTAAACAACACTGGACAGACTCCGACAGAGCCTTTGATAGAGCATATGCAAGGATATATTGATTTATACACACAACACATATACTGTACATACAGACAAGTCACAACAAAAAATTCAAACAAAAGGGAAAAAAACTTGCTGGAACTAACAAGCTTTAAACATAGCAGTTAATATCATAAATTACACAAAAATCTAATTTAGAATACTCATATAATAATCATACCATCACTTTCATTGATTTCAGATGGAAGTATATTTTTCAAGTTTAGTAATTTTTTGTGTTTAGTTGTGTTTAGCTGGGCGGCATTAAAAACCATATCAAACAAAAATACTCAAGGTTATAATACATTGTTGTAGGGGTTTAATATTTTGTTAATGTATTGGTAAACTTTGAAGCAAGATATTTCCCAAGGCTTTCAATAGTGCAACCTTGGTAAACCTGTATGAATATCATTTACTGCATTACAAATAACATGTACATGTTTGTTGCTGTGCACTTAAAACTCTAAATTTCTGCAATGATTTTTAAGATGCCATTCATGTTAAAATTGCATTCAATCAGCAATTCCTCATATGCATCAAATGCCTTTACTCATGCACCAGGCAATCACCTTTACTGCAAACTGGGGACTTCCTTAGTTTACTGGACCCTCCTGGGTTCAGAGTAGTGGGCCTTGTGGCAGTGCCCCGCCCCACAGATTTTGAACCTGACACAGCAGTGGGCCTCGATTCTAGTTGTTTTCCTCTACCCACTGTGCTTGAGTTGCTGTTTTTTCTGACAGCTGCAGTCTTAGAACGACCTGGATTAGTGGGCATTTCTTTTGCTTTGACAGATTTGACTGGGTTTTTAGGGGTACGACCTGTGGCAACAGCTAAAGCCCATATTAAATTGTTAGTGTGAAAGTACATTTTTTATATACTAAGTGATGTTAGAATATGTAACAATTAAAAATATATCACAAAATTACCTGCAGTTTGTTTTGAGGAGTCCACTGGACCAGCCTCTCTAGGAATTAAGCTTGCTGAAGGATTTTGTAACCCTGTGGGAACCTCCTCTATACCTAATGGTGTCAGAATGCTCCTCTCTGACCCCAGCTCATAACCACCAACAGTAAAGTCACAGGTCGGGGTGTTAGCTAGACTATCGGCCTGGTAAATGGGGGTTACTGGGTCCATGTGTTTGTTAGTGACAGGGGTCCCATTACGAGGTGGTGTGACATTTTGGGGCTTCTGACTGATAATGTTTGCTTGATTATTTGACATTTTTTGGATAGGTGCACTGTTATGATTGTTTGACTGATTTAAATGCGGTGTATGGTTGGTTTGTTTTTGATGAGAACTTGTATTTTGTGGGTGAACCGATGCTGTAAAATAAAATGTCAAATATAACCAACAAAATTGAAATACATGCACTTTCACTTGTCTACATACAAACTCACAACTTCTAAATAGACTGAGAAGTCTGTCATTAGCAGGTTCATAATATTATATGTTGAATTCACCTCCACCTTCAGTGCTTGTGTTTATATATAATACATGGTTTCAATCTAGCAAACAAATCTAAGAATGTAAGAGACTTCCACTAAATATGAATAACAAAACAACAATCATTGCAAACCAACTTTCTTTTCAAGAAAAGCAACTTTCATTATAAAAAAACACCAATTATCTATCTCTTGAAAGTAAAAACAACTTTAGTAGGGTGAAAAAATTCTGGAAGAAAGTTGTTTAAATCTGCAAAGTAGCTAAAAAGAAAAGTTGGTCTACAAAAAACATGGTAACAAAAAAAAATTAAGTCTACTTGATGATCAACATTGAAAAAAAACAACAACATTGAAATGGTATACTGACATTGAATTTTTCATAAACAAACATTTTCACAATCCATACCTGTTTGTTCCTCCGCAGCAGGCCCCTCCCTATTGTCAATCATGCTACTCTTGCTCTCGATTGTCATTAACTCTTTCATCATCTTCTCCCTCTGTTGTTCATACATCTCAATCTGCTCCCTACAAACCTGTTTCTGTCTCTGAAATTCCTTCAATAGCTCAGAGTTTGAGTTATTCTCATTCAGTTCATCTTCGGCCTTTGGGTTTGGTTTATTTTTATCCTGTGGGGCTATTGTTGCAATGGGTGGGCTTGGTTTAGTTTCCTCTGCTTCGTTTTTATTTTTTGGGGGTGTTCCTTGCTGAACTTTCTGTCTTGGGGAAGTCTCCTCAAATACAACTGAACTTTGAGTGTTCACCATCTCTCCCTCTGAAAATAGCTTGTCCATTGACATCTGCATTGGATCTTTTTTAGCAGCATTCAAACCAACACCTGACACAACAGATATTGATTGAGAAAGACTTGGTCCACTGATGGAAGCTGACATGTCCTTTCTTCCTTGCCATAGCCCTCTGCTTAATCCATCGAACTGTGGATTCAAAGATCTTGTCATAACATCAGCAGAACGGGGTCTAATATTGGGGACAGCTGAGTGTGGGAACAGCTTAGGCTTGATGGGTGTCACCAAGATCTGCTCTGACCATGAAGCTTCCAAGGTTGGCTTTATCAGTTGTTTAATATCAAAGTTCAGAGATTTCTGCTCAAAGGGGCAAGAGAATGTCTCATTAGGTATGTTCTGTAACCAAGAAATAAGACTGAGGTCTGCATCACTAAAGCCAGAATTTGTGAGTAGAGAGGGAAAAGTCATTTCATCACAAGGATCAGAACTTGTTGCTCGCTGCTGGCAATAATCCACACATGACTCATAAAGCATTCCCTTCAGAACCAACTGAAGCAGGCGGTCTTCTTCAGCTGTCTCAGAGTTGTGTTTTGATTTATCCATAGGTGTCAGGTACTTCTCCACTAGGGGTGTCACATCTCTGAAGCACTTAACTCGAGCATTACTGGGATTCCAGTTTTGATATTCTGGATGATCTGATATTTTAGGAATGGTTAAGAGCAGACACAAATTGTTGTAATCTTCTTTGGATACACAAAGACTCTCCAAGCTGTTTAAGCATTTAACAACTTCTTCAACTGTAAAGTCATAATTCTGCATCACACTAGGTTCTGACTTGATGCACAGAAGTTCAAGGTACTTGTGTTTCATGATGATATACTGAAATCTGGTGTAATTGAATGTTTCAATGGAACTCAGAGGTTGAATAAAATCAATGACATCGTCCCACTGGCCATCCAGAATAAGCTGTCTAAGAAACAGCATGTCATCAGAAAATTCGCCATTGATAATGCCCGTCTCTCGCTCTAGCGAAAGCATGGAGATATTCAGATCTCTGTTGAGGAGAAATTCTGATACTAGTTTGACGACATCAGTCTCGTCAACGATTACCTTGGGAGCAGGCATATTTAATACTGGTTGTAAGATAGACGACCTGTCTGTACGAGTTTTACATTTTGGTATAGAAATTTTCTAAACGAAAGTAAATTTATAGCCCATTCAACGTCTTCGTCTGAATTTTCTCCACCATTTTGAATAATATTTAGGATAGAGGATAGATGGCGCTCGTAAACATTTTTTTTTTTAAAACAGAAAATATTTTTCCGGCATAATTTGCCGTCTTTAATAAATTGAATTTGAAAGGCTATCTTCAGAAATTTATACTAGGAGATATATTTTCATTTATTTATTGAATTTTAATTTTCATTCATTCAACTTAAAAGATTTATTTTCATACAGGTCACCGAAACTGTTTGACTTGTAGAGAACGACTTCCGTTCATGAGAGTTATGTCCCCTTCATCGTGGCAACTGATAAACAAAGTTTTACAAAGAAAAGCGGCATCGTGCCTCAGTGCCTTTTATGCAGAGACTGCAAAAAAATGAGGATGTGAATTATTGCATTCATTAAGGCAGGTATCATTTTTGATCAAGTAGATTTCAGTTTAGTTTGCTTTGGTCATGTAGCCACCTATCTGCCTATACAAATCTCAGGCACCTAAGCCAGGTGCCTGTTGAGAAATCAATAAGTGGAGTGTATGTTTAAATCCTTCATATACATAATATTGTTGAAGTACTGATAATATCTAGAAATAATTTTATCCTAACTGCTTTGATGACAGATGCCACAAAAATGGATGCCTTTACTGGGTATACTTTTGGACCTATATCAGTATATTAGCTGTAAATGATGCAAATAATAAATTTCTAAAATATAAACCAGGAATTTTAAAAAAAAATATGTCTAAAATTTTAACATTTTATAATCATTCTTATTAATAATCTATTCTAACTTTTTGTCCCTCTAAATCACGTTAATTTTTGTGAAACTGAATGTATTTCAACACTTATAGTTTTCTCTCTTTTTTAAAAAAATGAATTATCTTAATCTTATATACTTAAACACAAAGAAACCAAGGGAGTGGGAGGTAACAGTCCAAAGTCATGTTATTGGTCCTTTTTATATATATAAGGCCATAATTATATATATAACCCCCGCCTCGATTTTTTTTATTTTGGTAACTGTGAAACCATTCTAAAAGGTCAACATGATTTTGACAGCTGAAAAGATTGTAATTGCTGTAATACATGCATATATTTTTTAAACAAGGGTCATTGGTTGAAAAAGATTGGTGATGATGTAAAGTAAGAGTTAATGGAACCTTTACTATGACTTTTATTCTGGTTTTATAGATAAAATTACACCGACTGATTAGGTCAACAAAAATTCTGCAAAATTGAAAAAATAAAAAATTTAAAATAAAAGCCGCCCGCCTGCCCCGATTTTTAAAAAAAGTCGGATGAGAATCTAGCAATTTATTTATTATGGCCTAAATTTGGTAACTGTGAAAATCCAAAAGGCCAAGGTCTGACCCCCCCCCCCTCCCGACCTGCTTCTGCTCACCGTCTGGATTCCCCTTCCTCCTCCTAGAGTGCTTCTTACATAGGAAGAAGATCTGTTAGCTATCAAACATTTCTAACTATCCATCTCTAACATAAGGAATTCTTGGATGTATGTAGGCTTAAAATGGTTAATTGAAGATAATTGTATAGTTCTAGTTTTTAAAACACTCAGCTCAGCAGATTATTTTGATGGAACAAAATGGCTTAGTTAATATTAGTGTAGAGTTCAGGGAGTCTGGGTTCAAATTCTGGTCCAATGCATTTTATCCCATTCTGTCCCACTCTATATTATCTCATCAGATTTACTAGGAAAAAAAAACCCAAATCAGTTGTTTATGGATAAGAGATAAAGTTCATTTTGCCAAATCCTAATAAATTATAAGTGTCAGAGCACCTTTCTGGTGTGTAGGGGCCCCTTGTTTGACTCTGTCTCACCCGTTGCATTCTTCATACCTGTTACAGTCTCTTGATAGCCTGGTAAAAAAAAATCAAACAATTCATTGAAAAAAGAAAACCCTCAAAAGTGCTTTGAATTTTTAAGTTTGTGTATAATAAGCTACCATAAATAGTTGCTGTGTTACTTTTTTCATAATTTTTAAAAAATTCTAAATAAGGCCATAATAAATAAATTGCTAGATTCTCAGTTCAACACAAATATTTTTGAAAGAAAACATGGAAAAGATAAAGAAGAGCAAGATTTTAAAATTTTAAATTTCAGCAAAAATTTTAAGAAAATTTTGCAGAATTTTTGTTGACCTAATCAGTCGGTGTAATTTGATAAAACCAGAATAAAAGTCATAGTAAAGGTTCCATTAACTCTTACTTTACATCATCACCAATCTTTTTCAACCAATGACCCTTGTTTAAAAAATATATGCATGTATTACAGCAATTACAATCTTTTCAGCTGTCAAAATCATGTTGACATTCACTTTGTTATCAAAAAAGGAACCATTGGGAAACTAGATTACAAACTTTTACACTGCCCTTAAGATGAAGAAAAACAGAAATAAAAAAAATCGAGGCGGGGGTTTAAAATGCCATTAAATGAGGTATGGTCATTTTAAAATTTTATGCCATATCTTACTTTTCATGCTTATATGTAGTACTAATGTATTGAAAATTTTTTAACAGTTGAATCCTGAAGAGTCACCAATTCAACACAAATATTTTTGAAAGAAAACATGGAAAAGATACGAATGTCACCGAAAGACGTGTGTAAAATCTGTCAAAAAGCCATGCAAAAAGAAATTTAAGAAAATATAAGAGAAATTTAACATGTGAATAAATGATTTTATTCAGATTTCACATTATTTTATTCAATCAAAAAGGAGGCACCCACATAGGTATATTGCCAGAAAAACAGCGAATAGACATGGTTCTGATCCACGACAGGGATGATACTTGTGATGAGGCTACAATCATTATGAAGTGTTATACAAAAAAGACAGGAGATAGAAAAACTTTTTTATATAAAAGAAACCATTATATATGAATACTTAACACAACTTTTACAATGCCCTTTTATATGAGTCTCTGTGAAATCGCTCAGTTTGTTAATCTAGAAATGCCATTAAATGAGGTATGGTCATTTTAAAATTTTATGCCATATCTTACTTTTCATGCTTATATGTAGTACTACTTGAAAATAACAAATTGATAGAGAGGTTTATCAGATCAGACTATTGTTTACTTGTAAAATTTCAGATATTATATTTTAGGTCTTGCAAATACTTGTAGCATTTAATTTGTGGTAAGTCTTCACAGTGCTTGAGATAATTAAGATCCCATTATTGGTCACAAACTGTTTCATTTCGTTATAATTTTATGTTGTTTTGCTCGTGTCCATGATGGTATGCAAAGATTTAAGAATGTCGGCTGTTTTTGTTTGGATTCTTCCTACACTGTATACTTGTCTAAGGGACATGATTCAGAATATCCTATAATTAAGAAAGATATTTTCAGAAAAATTGTTGCCTGCATGGCACAGTGGTTAGAGCGTCTGCTCTAGAGTCGCGAAGTAAGGAGTTGATTCTTATGTTGCTGGTTCGATTCCCACTCTGGGACATGGAGACCAGTCCTTCAGATTAGACCGTATATACCAAGGTCCCATGTTGCAGTAGGTGCTGGCACAAAAAAGATACCTCACTGATCAATGACCCTATGTCCCGAGTATAGGACAAAATTTGTAGCTCTCCACCGGCAAGTGTTGGTATCTCCATATGAGTGAAAAGTTCTCCAGAGACAACATAGAATCAATCAATCCAAAGAAATCAGCCGGATGACAACATTACATATACAGATTAAATAACAGTGTATACAATAATGAATTTACTTATAGAGCCTTTTTACATCAGATTTCACAAGATTTTGAGATATACAACATCAGGATTAGACAGGTTTCACTGTAGATATTAAATTAACGATGTAGTCAAATTACAGTTTATTTCATAATTTTTTTTCAGAATCTTTTATGGTAGATTTTTAAAAAGTTAATAACATTTATAAATAAAAATAAAAAAAAACCCACACATTTAAAAACATTCAAAGTGGTGAACTATACATTCATGGAGATACTATCTTAGATTTAAACATACCGAATGAAGGGAAAGAGGGAGAGAGGCAGTTACATGATTGAGTTTTTTTTTCTATTACATGTACTCTTAGTACACACAAACAAAAACATTTTTTCCAATAATGTTATCATCTCTAAATTTTAAAATTGAAATGGAAGACTTGTTCTGTAACTTAACACTTGAGGTTTAAATTACCAAGCAACATCATTGTGTATACATTCCCAGTATGATTTAAATGACAAATAGGGACTAAATTAAATATTTACCTTAACTTACAGACAGTGTACTTTGTTAGAGAATTATAATTTGTGTTATTAAAATATTAAGTCCTTTGAAATTTTTGTAGGTGGAGAAAATTTTTAGCTTGAAGGATATCAAAAATAACAAAGTACAGTGATAATCAATGTCTATGTTTTGCACATTATATGTGCATTCTACTGCTGAGAAACAAATGTATGCAATGATGCAAGAAATAAATTGTCAGAAAATTCACTTTATACTGATGTAGCTTAAATCATGAATCAAATATTGTTTAATTACAGTATTATTTATTCCCCTTGATAAGCTCAAAGGTACTTAGTATACATGTAGCTTTGAAAATAGATGTGAAATTCACTGGTCAAGTTTTTGGTTTGCTATCAGAATGACACCTCAAGGCTTTCACTAGAATGGTAGCATGGCAAGTCACCATTTACCTAGCACAATTGATCAATAAAAAATAATAGCCGTTAAAATTCCAATATGGCTATATCATTTAATCCTCTGAGATATTCTGCAAATGCTTGTATCTAGTTAAAGTTCATGAAAAGTATCTGTGCTTGGTATAAATTTAGAGCTGATTTCAATAGACCTAATGGATTACGCTGTTTGTGACGTGTTAACGCTTTGCTTGTCGAGAGGTTTAAATACTACGTCACATTGACATCACATCAAAGGAAGTAGTCGAGATCACTTCTAGCCCACGCTAAAGTCGGTCAGCTGCAATACACATCGCCGACATTAAACGGTTTACAAAAGGGGCCAAACAGCACAAATCTTATTAAACAGTTGGAAAAGAGCATTATTTATATTATATGCATTTTTAATCAATAAAATTTTAGCGTTTCTCCCGGCCTTCCTTCTTTACCATTTCTCTCGAATATATGCATAGAGAGGGGAGTCTATTTTTCAGCAGTATTTTGTATTAAATTGCAACAATCTCAGAATGCATGGTTTGGATTGATACCGTAACCAATAAGTGCAATGATCAATGACTTATGTACTACTTGTTTTTATACATGTACGCAAATATGAAAAAGATAAATTTTGCGATAGAATGAAATAATCGACCAATTTAAATATTCGTAATGGACTGAAAAAAATCATAAAAATTAATGCTTTCATTGATTAATTCAAGTTCAAGACATTTAACTATGCTGGTAATATTCAGGAAAACGAGATCGGGACTGTGTGCTCCACTTTTTTTACCCAAGAAACAAGCTGTATGTTGCAGCTAACCGACTTTAGTGTGGGAGAGAAGCGATATCGGCCACTTCCTTTGATGTGGTGACAATGTGACGTAGTATTTAAATCTCTCAACAAGCAGAGCATTAGCACGTCACAAACAGCGTAATCTGTTAGGTCTATTGAAATCAGCTCTAAAATGAGTTGATGCATTAGAGGATTAATTAACTCATTATATATAAGGTATGAAGTCTTCAAATGAATTTATTTCAAAGATTTCAATGCCTGTACTAATCCTAGATATAATTGTTTATCAATATCTAGAAGATGGTCTAAGAAAACAAATAATAGTTTTTTAACCAGATCTACGTAATACTATTTTTTTTATGTCAAAGTTTTTGCTGATAAAAGAAAGAATAACAGAATACACAGACCTCATTTTCCCAATTACACTGTCACATGTGTTGATTTTTATGCTTTGTTATGAAATTAATGGTGAACAAAATGAAAATGCTAATTAGTATACCTGTCAGACTTTTTTATGTTTAATGTGTTATATAGAAATATATTTGTTTAATCTTATTTCTTCTTTAATGGCATCTGACTGTCATAATGGCCAGGTAGCAGGCAAAAACAAAAAAAACTTGCAATTTTTCACATAATTAATATTTTTAAATTTTAACATGATCTAGCCTCCTGATGAGAACCCTGAAGAAAAAGGCTGTTGTATTTGGTTGGAAAAATTTATCAACGATTACTTCTTTGATGATGAAACAGGTTAGCTTTTACTATTTTTAAGTATACTCTTTATCAGGTTATCCTAGTCCACAGCATCTCTGTGTAGCCCAATTTTAACCCAACCTGTTGAAAAACTTTACCAAAATTTAACCCACAGCTCTGATATTGCTATAATTACTTTTGACTTCCAGCTACACCTTTGACTAACACTGGGCAGTAACTGGGGAACTCCATCTTTAATTACTAAAATTGCAACCCTGCTTGTCTGTATTCATTGTCTTTGAATCATGTTAATGTTCCTTTTCTTTTTTTTCAGAGGATGACTATACAGGCCTTTTTGACATGGACAGAATTACTATGTATAAAAATTATAACAACCCCACCAAATTCTTTCGTCCTGCTACACGCTCATTCCTCGTAAGAATTCTTTTTTAAAAATGTATCAGTCAAATACTCTTAGATCTGCATTTTAGTGTATACATGTAGTAGTTATATTTTAAAATTTACGTAAAAAGAGCTAAGCTTTTTTATAAAATAATTTTTTTTACAGGTCCACAAAATTCTTATAAATATGGACATTTCAAAGGACTTAAAAGACTACAATGTTTTTGATTCCTTGGAAGATGGTCAAGGTGAGAAATGTTCCAACATGACAAAAAATCAAAATTATAAGAAGGTTTCCCCCCTAGCTGTTGATCAAGATTGAGAAAAATATAATTAGGAACAAAATTAAAAGTTGAAGATATATACCAAACACATATCATTTTATGCCTTTGAAAAAAAAAAAAATGAAAGAACTTGATTTTCAAAAAACCTCTTGATTTTAATGTATACATGTATGTATGTATGTACTAAATGGTATTTTGTTTCTGTTTTCAGACCACTGCTGTTCTTGTGGTCGAGCTAAAACCCTGAGAGAGTTGAGTGAAGCTGAAAATTCTGATCAGGAGCTTCAGAAAATCAGTAAGAATTAAGCATCAGGTGTATGATCTGAGGGGATCAAAACAGCTTGACAAAATTCCTCAGTGTTTGAATTGAAGATTGACTGTGATTGCAAATTAGAAAACTATTCATTACAGTTGAACTTCGTTATGTCAAACACTAATAACTGAAATACCATGGATATGTTGAAGTAATTTGGAGATTCCCAACCATTTATTATTTCGGTATTTTACCCTTGATATCCGGAATCCCCAGATATTTTAAAGATTTTTATTGAGTTTGAAATAATGAGATCTGTCTGTCTTTGTCAATATAATTTTCATCTTTTTGTGATCTTCTTCCGATAGATCTTCCGTTTTTGATAATGAAGAAGGTTTACAAGGAGTCAGTTGTGCTTCACGAGGCCTCAGCGGTCGGGAAAAACAACGACGAGGATTCAGCTGATGAGGGGGACCCTGACCCCAGAGAGGAGGAGAGATTAGCTGATGACCCCCGGGCTAAGCTCAACAGGTCATGGACTAAATTGTTCAAGGTACATGTAGGTCTATCATGTCCATCTCCTTCTTTGATCTTCAAAGGAATTGATGTTACAAACAGTCAGAAATTTTTTTTTTTTTTAAATATTAGAAATGAATGAATTTTTTATTTTAAGATATTTTGTACGTTAAAGGGGCTTAATTATTTAAAAAATTTTCACTTTTGAGACAGCAAGATATTTTTTGAGTTAATGTTCAGCACTGCTTTCCAGTTTCAACCTATATGGAGGATTAGGAACTATTTTGGGGAGAAGATAGCCTTGTACTTTGCATGGTGTGGACACTTGGTTACCTCCCTTTGGCTCCCAATGTTGTTTGGACTTGCCATTTTTATCTATGGATTAGTCAAAAGGTGCATAAAAAGACTTGTACTGAAATTTATATTTTGTATAAAATTTGACATTTTTTTAAAACACTGATGTACGTCACAAACTGTTCATGCCTAAATATTGCAGAGATTCTATTTTAAACTGTTATCTTGATATATATGTCCTACAAAATGAAAATACAATGTATTTATTAGTGAACAACAGCATATGAATTATCTTGATGTATTTCAGCATCAACAGAAGATATCAATATGAAACCAGCAATTCAAATGGGAATGTTACTGGGTAAGAGATCGGAAATATTTTGTCAAGTTTTTCAGGTCAGCTTTTTTCTTTCCATGTATTCACTGCATGTTACCCTTATTTGTTTTCTTTGAAAGTTTTGACAATTATTAAAAAATGTTTATCTTACCTCTGTTTCAGATTACTGGATACAATAAAGCAGTCATTTGATAATGAGGTCACTCCATACTTTGCTATGGTCATCTGTATTTGGGGTAAATTACTAAATTATCAATACTATTCTGAGGCTTTGAAATTGAATCACTCTTTCACTTTAATCCTTTTTAATACATGTCCTGGGTAAAAATGATATGCTGTTTTTATAGGGACTATATTTTTGGAATTTTGGAAGCGGAAGGAGAGGAGACTGGCCTTTTTGTGGGACGTGACAGAATATGAAGTAAATGAGCCTGACCGACCAGAGTTTTATGGAACCACAACAGAAATAGTATGTGAAATTTCTTATAGATATAATCTTTCAGCAGACTTTTTAGACATGATGGAATTGTTCTCCTTGTTTGGATTAAGGGATATTTATTTTTGTAACTCTTAACTTTTCACATTTTTGATGTTTTTTTTTCAGAATCCTGTGGATGGCTTTAAGATCCTGAAATATCCTGCGAGATACCAGTTTATGAAGTACATTACCTCAGGTGTGACTTTGTTGTTTATGGTGTTGGTTGTCATGGCGAGTGTGATGGGTGTCATCATTTATCGTGTACTCGTTACTGTGGATTATTGTCCAGGTGTCAGTCCTGAGGAGTGCCTTTTGAGTACCACAGTTGTCTCCTCCTTACTCAACGCACTCTCTATTTTTGTACTTGGCAAGGTGGGTAAAAAGATTTTTAAATTTTATTCCATGATTTCCTTTGTATTTTGAATAAGTAATACATACATGTACATCTAGATACATTTGTAACAAAAAAAAGGTTTAAATCAGTCTTTTAATTTGCCAAGCAGAAAGGTTTATCCTTTGAAGAACACTTCCTACTTACTCATTTTTTTCCTTTAGTTTTATGACTTTTTGGCTGTGAAGTTAACAGATTGGGGTAAGGTGACATAATACATTTGCAAAATAAATTTCAAGATTCTATTACCGGTAATTTTAAATAACATGATAAATTCTCACTCAAGTCTTAGAACATTGAGCTTATGTATTTAAAAGCATTGAATTAATTATTAAAATGTTTTGTTTTTTTTTAGAAAACCACAGAACACAGACAAAATATGATGATTCGTTAATCATGAAACTGTTTGCCTTCCAATTTGTAAATAACTATTCCTCCTGCTTTTACATTGCTTTCTTCAGAGGGGTAAGTCAAAATTTGTTAAATCAATTTTTTCCATGCCCTAATTAGTATTTTTAGAGAAATGAAGCTTCTTAACGACCTCCTTATTTGTGATGTTTTGCAGCGATTTGATGCTGATGGTCTCGTGGGACTCGGACCACAATTCCAGGACCAGTGTGAGGGGACCTGTATGTCTCAGCTCTCCTTCCAAGTCCTTACATTGATGAAATATATCACTAAAAAAACCACTTCCCTTGGAAAAAAGAAAATTATGTACAGATGCAATAAAATTCTGCCGTAAGTCAATCAATCTTCACTTTTATGACTACTGTGTTTTCCTGTGTGTTTTTTGCAAATAGGTAGGTAGGTTTTTGAAAGATGGGTGGACGCTAAACATAGAAAAAACTTGGAATGGCCTAATTAGTATTTTTAGAGAAATGAAGCTTCTTAACGACCTCCTTATTTGTGATGTTTTGCAGCGATTTGATGCTGATGGTCTCGTGGGACTTGGACCACAGTTCCAGGACCAGTGTGAGGGGACCTGTATGTCTCAGCTCTCCTTCCAAGTCCTTACATTGATGATCACTAAACCACTGCCCAAGTTATGGCATAAGTCAATCTTCTATTCTTCCTAAATTTGAGCTGATGCCAATAAAAACAGATGCCATTCTGGCATACATCTTCTTTAATTTGGATAAAAAACCAAACAATGTTTGTTATGTAAAGATGCCATTAGACCTGAAAACCACTAAATCAGTCCCCATATTATACATGTACGTACAAATGGCATTTTTCTAGATAATTCAATTGCATTTTTGATTAGAACTTTGTTTTACTTGCACCTGTTACATGTATGCTGATGAATGTCAACTCCTCCTTAGTGTAGACTTATGACTTACCAGAAATGTTTTTTGATAATGTTTATCCCCCGTTTTATCAGTGCTTTGAAGAAGTGGTGGAGAAAGAGACCCTCCTGGTGCTGCCGTTGTTTTGGTGGGGAGCCACCACAGAAAAGCAGGAGAGAGGAGACATTCCTAGAGAAACACGTCAAAAAAGAAAACCTAGGGGATTTCACACTCGGGGAATACACAGAAAAAATCATCATCTTCGGCTTCCTTATGGTAAACATTGATCAAAAGTTATGGAACACTGATTCCCTCTTACAGATTTACAGAACAAGGGAATAAGTAACTATGCTTGTATCTTTGTATATCCTATGAAGCAAGGATGGAATTTTGTTTTTAATCAGTTTAACCAGTTTGTCCATTTTCTCTAAACTTAAACCATGGTTATCAATTTCAAACTGTCCAAGATGAAGTCTTCATAATTATAGCCTAAAAAATGTCAGTGTTAAAGATTCATATGCTATCTGTAGACAAAATATCAAAGACTATTATCAATTCACAAACACATCATATTTGATCTGTATATAGTTTTAATTTTCTTATTTAATTGCCATACATAATGCTCCTAGATACTGTGTTAACATTAGGTTGACAATTTCAGTTATTTGCTGCCTCTTTCCCATTGGCTCCTTTGATGGCCCTTATTACTGGAGCCATAGACATCAGGATAGATGCTTGGAGATTACTGTGGATTTATAAACGACCCATAGCCTACATGGCTCAGGACATAGGTACGTAAACTGTGGTTTTTCTTCTTTAACAGATGTTTGGGTTTTTTTATTTTTTGTGAAAAAAAGGCATGAGAAAGCTGAAAAAAAGGTGACCAGGTATTTGAACACAATAGTCCCCCTTTTTTGTGAACATGGTTTTCATGTAAATGTTACATCAGTATAGCATCTCAACTATCATCATGTTCACATATGATTTACATTGCAGGTACATGGTACACAATCCTGAGCTTTATGAATTTTTGTGGTGTTGTCTCTAATGGTTTCCTTGTGGCATTCACTTCTAGTTGGGGAAATTCCTTCTCCATAACGGGACAACTCTGGATTGTCATCGGGTTTGAGGTAAAGAAAGAGACAACAAAGGAATACATGCAAAATACATGTACTTTCCTAGTGTTCTTTCATTTCCTTTCTTCCAATCAAATGAACTCTTAAAATTATGATAGATGACACAGATAATTTTTTTTCCAGCACATCGCTTTGATCATCATGTTTGTGTTTGCCTATATTGTACCTGATACCCCAGCAGACATCCAATTAAAGAAGAGAAAGGTAATACCCCAGCTGTCTCTAACTCTGGTGTCTTAACTGATTGACATGAGAAATAAACTCTCTGCCTTTTGATACTTTACAGCTTTATTTCTGGTACCCCACATATTTTATATTTTAAAAGAAATAAAAAAAAATAAATTATGTAATTGGCAAGTTTTAAAAAAAAATGAAATTCAGTCATATGAGAAGGTGCCTGAAAGTTTGTTCTCATTTATATTTCAGAAAAAGCACCTACAGAGTAGAGATGTTAATATTTTTTTTTTCAAATTCAAATAATCTTCTTTACTTCTTCACAAGTATTCTGTATGTCTTTGTCTAGAATATATTCCTGTCGCCATGTGACTAAATGTCAGCTCTTTTAATCAGCACATCATTGTGTTTAATCTTCATTGTAAAACCATAGCCAGGCAAATTCCTGGCCTTTTATGACTGTGGGTTTCATGGAAATTCTCGTGCCTAGCAAAAGCAAATCTTTTTACCTGTTTTGATTTGTTTGCACATAATACAATTATCTATGTAATTTTGGCAGCTTGAGAGTTCAGGTTAAACCATGCAAGCAAATATTTACAGACTAACATCTTCACCAACCTATTGGTGCCACAAAATACATGTTAATGCATATAAGGATTTTTTTTCCAATAAAATTTCTTCATGTATAAGGTTCAACATCATAATAATATGTATATATGACTTATGTGTTAGTATTTAAATAGAAGATAACTGGGTATATAAATACACACTGTATATACTTTTAATTTTTTAACCTGAATTCCATTTACCCCCTCTGAATCATGTCAATTAACAAAACACATAAGAGACTTTTTAGATTTATTCATAACACAACACCCAATTCATTGCAGGAATATGTTTTTGGGTTTCTTTTTTTTCACTTTTAATTCTTGTTTAATTTTAGTTCAGAAAAAAAAATTGAATAGTGATGTTTCAATGATGACTTGAATCTAGTATATTCTGGAGTTTTCATTCATCTGGAAATAGCTTTAATTCATTTTTTGAATTACTGGTACATGTATATATTCTTTTTTTGGTTTGACATTAAATCAGATTTATTTTAGTAAAATTCTTAATTTTTAAAAAAAATCTTTTTTAGTCAAAATTTTAATTCTAAGCTCCTCTTAATGTAGTCATTTTCATTGATATTTGAAGTTCATAATTGAGGTGTATTTCTAAGTAGAAATACATGTGTATTTCTACTAAACAGTAGAGCTTTAATATGCCATTAAACTTTAATGCTTTTACAGGGAATTAAGGGTAACAAAAAAAACATATCGATGTTAAAAAAACAAAGTGGTGCATGTTCAATTATCCAGATCATGTTTTGCAAAATTTCACCTTTCACTGCAGTTTATGCAGTTTATAAAAATTTGAAAGAATGTGACACAATGTCTGATTTCCTATGGTTAAACATTTTGTTTTATGCAATAGCAAGAAATGGAAATCTGCATTTGCCTATTGATCATTTATTTTCTTAATCACCTGGGCCAAAGATACCAATAAATCACCTCTGATGTAAGGTAACATTCATAGGTTTCCTTAAGAACCAAGTTATAATGCAAGAACAATGAGCTACAATTCCCAGAAGACTTACACAATTATGCTGCATTGATATTGTTATTCATTTTTGAACACAACACATACCTTTGGAAATTCCTGGAGCCCACAAAGTTGAAATTTCTAGAGAAACCTGCATGTATATTGCAGAAGTCACAAATCACACATGTAGAGTGTTATGTCTGTTATGCAGGTACTCGCATTACATATGTTAAGAAATAATGTGTTGCTGAATCACTGTGTTAAATACTGTTAGACTTTTATAGTACTTGCATTGCACCACTTATTTTTGAGCAAATTGAAACCCTCTCAAGAATGCAATACAAATGGTGTCTTCCCACTTAGCCAACATTTTGAAAAAATACAGGTAAAACACAGGTAAATCTGTGTTGGCTAAGTGGGAATAAGGTACAGGTAGAGAACAAAAGAAAAAAATTACAGGTAGGCTATAGTCTGTTTTAAGGTGAATAAATTATTTATTAATTTTAGTCTTTATTAATTTGAGGCATGTATTAAAGAACAGTTACACCAGATAATCAAATTTAAAAAGGTCTTTCAAATTATTTTATGTAAAAAGGCCTTTTTGTAAATTATAGATATCAAGAATTTAAAACAATAACCCAGTTATTTCTCGACTTTACATTTAGTAAACAGAATAAAATTAAGTCAGTTAAACTTTAGAAACGCTAGGTTTTACAAGTTCAAAATGGGTAAGAATTTATGTTTGAATGTAAATAGCATTTATCATGTACATCATCACTTAATCTCTTTTAATATTTTAGCTAATAGATATGCCATATGTGTATAAACATGTAAATTTAGGTATAATTCTTATAAAATAAAAATGTATGATTATAGATAAATTTTATAAATTGTTTATAGTATTTCCTTCTTTTATTGTTTTAAAAATGAAAAACACAGAATATGTTACACAATGGATTATTTAATGTACAAACATTGATTTTTTCTAACTAGAAATTAAATAATTTTTGTACATTTTCCATATAGTAGAGTAAAACTATAGTGTATGTACAGATAAAACAAAATGACAGGAATTCAAAAAAGTAAATTTGAGGACAAAATGGAACTCAATATATAATTAAATAAGCAGGGTTGTGAAATCAAGTATGGAATGAATACTAGCTGTAACAGTATGTAAGTTGATTTCTTCATCAGATAATAAATCACTTTGTGTGGGCTTCTTTTACTGTTGTTCATGCATTACCATGATCAAATATTATGACATACTCAGATAAATATTTCTAATCTCAAATGTTAATCATATTAGAGCATTCAAAATTCTTTCACTTTTCCTTTTTGTTTTATCATTAAATACTTTATTTCTTATATAAAAATCACTCTTATAATTTTTATTGATATTTATTTTTTTTAAAATCAATATTTACTGATTTTTTTAATATTTAATTTTTTTTTTTCAAAATGCAGATGTGTGCGAAGTTTAGTACATTTATTTAAAAAAAAAATATTTGGAACTTTAATTTTATTACTCTAATTTTATAATTATTAAAATTTTGATTTATGTATTTTTACACTTTTCAATGGTAGTACAGTAGTTCTCAGGTAATCCATATATACGCTTACCTGAAAACAGACTATAGCCTGTTGATCGCTCAGGTGTAAAAATCAGAATGTTGGCTATGTGGGAATAGGTTTTTTCAAAATGTTGGCTAAGTGGGAATAAACCATACAAATTTCAGAAATAACAATATTTAAAAGTTCACAGGGAAATGAACTTGGTTGGAAATATGTGATCAAATCCTTTAAAGACCAAATATTTGTTTACTTTCCAACCAAGTCCATTTCACAGTGATCTTTTAAATATTGTTATTGAATACTTATTTTTACTTTTGAGAAGGAAATATTGCACCAACAACCAGTGTTGAACTGTGTACATTGCATCCGTGTATTGAGCCCTAAACAGATAAAGTTGCTTGGTATTAAACCAAATACTGTTAAATGATACTCTTTTAATCTTTTCTCATATTGTTACTGTATGCTAAAACATGCTTCTTTTCATTTTTTTTTATTTTTGCAGAAAAAGTATAAAATGGAGGAAGCTCTTGATAATTTGCAAAGGTAAGTCATATAAAAAATGTAAACAGTATCTTAACAATAGTAAATACAATACTGATTTCTGTATACTGTCATTCACATTGTCAACTTTACACAATGACAGATCAATAGAGGAATCTAACCAAAGAGAGTATGTGTATGCAGACCAGGAATGGGAAGATGTACCAAGACAAGAACCTCACAGACGAGTCACATACAGGTCAGTCTAGATCACACAGACAGGTCAGTCTAGATCACACAGATGTGTCATTTACAGGTCATTCTAGATCACACAACTATTATATTATGATTTTGACGAGGGTTTATTTTGTTGTGTATCAGGTCTCCCCCCTCTGCTACGACAGCTACAGATGTCATCATAGAGAGACCAAGGGAGGTGACATATTATGAATACCAAGATGGTGGATATGACAACAGAGCATATGACAGGGATTATGAGTCAGTATTTAAGTGAACAAGGTCTTAATTTGTCTGGTTGTAACAACTCGGATCCACAAACAGTTTGTGTTTCTAATCATTTATATTTTATTCAGACCGAGGGAGTACATTGTGACCACTCCTGTGAAGAAACTAAAGAAGAGAAAGAAGAAAAGGACCAGGAAAAATTCAGGTATATACATGTATTTATTTGGAACCAGTCAATGGTTTCGACACTATAACTCAGTCATCTTTTTTGGCAATAATAGAACTGGACTTACCAGCTTGATTTACTGGGATTCTGCATAAAAGCCTGAAAAGCTCACCTTGAAGAGCACTTGTAGAGTTTATTGGATATTCTGGGTTCAAGTTTTTTGTTTAGGTGCTCAGTTAATTGGAGATCATTGATACAAGTTTTAGTTTTTCCAATGTATCTCCCTACCTCTCACATTTAATAAGTGTTGTTTAGACCTGACCTTGACCTGTTTTTGTTTTAGTGGAGGACCTGTCAGAAGACAGAGAACATGTTGACTCTGGATACAGAAATCCAGGGGACTACAATGAGAACATACCTGTGGGAAGCTCAGCAAGGGTGGTCCTCGGGGACAGGTAAAGGCATCAAATGTACAGTAATTATACCCCACGCAACTAGTTGCGGGAGGTATAGTGTTTTTGACCCGTCCGTCAGTCAGTCCGTCAGTCAGTCAGTCCTTTTTTTTCGTCAGCGCAACTCCTCATAAACCGCTGCACAGAATTTCGTCAAACTTTGCAGGTATTTAGGACACAATGTGTAGATGTGCATATTACCAGGAAATTCCATTCCATTAAAACTTTTTAACTTAGGCATTTGGCCATACCTTGAATATAGAGATGAACAGTTTGTCAGTGCAACTCCTCATAAACCCCTGCACAGAATTTCGTCAAACTTTGCAGATATTTAGGACACAATATGTAGATGTGCATATTACCAGGAAATTCTGATTCCTTTATTTTTTCCGGGAATTTCCACACTTTCCAACTTAGACTTTTTGGCCATATTTTGAATATAGAGATGCACAGTTTGTCAGCACCACTCCTCTTAAACTGTTGTACATAGTTTCGTCAACCTATGCAGATATTTAGGACACATTCCATCATTTTATCCCAAAGAGTTTTGCCAATTATTCAAGAAAATTTCTCCCCTCCCCCCCCCCCCAACCACTTCAAATTAATGTTTGGATTTGTATAATGCCAAGAAATTTTGATTCCATTATTTATCTAGAAACTTCATTCCACATTTAAATGTCCTCATATGCAAGACATTTTGATGTGAAGATTTTTTTGCAATTATTGCCCTTTTTGATCTATACTATGTATTTAAAGTGCACTGTGCCTTTCATTATGTGTTTCACCGTCAAGTTTTGGGGGAGCGTGGGGTATGTGAGCTAGCTCACTTTTTCTTTCATTACTTCCAGAAAGCATTTTATAAAAGACAAATGCCCTCTTAGTGCCATCTCAACTCACTGAATTTGATAAATGACCAAATTAAGTCACACGAAAACTAACTTTGAATTTTTTTGGTCCAATTTCAGGTCAGATATAGATGTTTAAAAGAAGAAAATGCAGCAAAGAAATTATAACCTTTCAAGTGTTTTCCATGAATGATAACAACAAGAACTGTTTAGTTTCTGATAAGGATTTTTACGCATTTATTTACTTATTTATTTTTTTATACTACACATATTTCATCAATCATCACTGCTCTTTTTGCATATATCTTCCACAGTTTTACCTACTGAGCATTTTAAATGTTCTTTTATTTTAAAAAAAATATTTATTTTTATGAAAGGATATTGTCTGACTGTATATGTTTTTCTATTGTCTCTACCATAATATAAAACAGACTAAGAAAAATTATAACATTTTTGACACCTAAATTTACATCTGCTGTAGACATATATATTACATTCCAAATTAAAATATACATTATGCTACATGACAAAGTAAAATATGCATGACAAAATAAAATTTACATGTTACATTAATTGAAGTAAAATATACTGAAATACTCTACCAAAAAATTTCATATTTTCTTGTAGAGTATTGCACTTTCTGTTTTGATACTACATTCTTTATATATATATCTCATATTTTTATAACCTTTTTTCTTATTTGTTATTTTGTATTTTATTAAAATTATATTTGTTTGAGGTTAATTATCTTTTTTATTTGTCACTAACAATATTGTTAGACTGAAAGGTGTACATGTATATTTGTTTGTAATGTATTATTATGTTTTACTTTGAGATAATTTCATTGTATGTACAATGTGTATTTTTGAAAACATTGTTTAATATCATTGTCTTTAATTAATCACCCTGGTGCTCATTTGATATTTATTTAACAGTTATATGTTATATGAGATCTTTCAAACCACCATGACTTTATAGCAGTGCACAAGACATAAATATATATATTGAAAAGGTGCATGTCTGTGTAATTTTAAATCAAATTTTGAACATCTTGAAGTAATGTCCTCAAAGCTTAGAATTTTTATATTTCAATATAGTAGATGTTAATTAAATTTGATTTTATAATTTTTTTATTATTTGAACCATTGCTCAATGTTGTACAATTTTAATGAATATAATATGTGATAGTGCTTATAAATTACTCATGAAAAATTAGATAAATATAAAAACTGCAGTAGATACACAATGTTTAAGTTATATAATGTTTAATCCACTGTAAAGAGTTAGCAATTTACTAATGGATAACATATTTCAACAACTAATAATAACTAATATCAATGAAATAGAGAATACTCAGATTTTGGAGCGAGGACCTGGTATAGACCACCTTTAGTGTACAACCTAGTCAGATCTAGTTTTAAACACACTGTTTTTCTGTAATACAATATGTAAATAGAAAATACTTTACCACAGGTAATGGGTTGAACAATATCAGTCTAGAAATCAATATTTTAATATTTTTGCAAACTATGTAGTTTGTCTCTCTATATAATTTTTTTTTAATTCCGTCCATATTAACATTTAGGCAATTAATTTGAATGTATAGTTGTATTTTTTTTTATCGTTTTTAAACATTTATAGTTGTGATTGGACTCAAATTCCATAATTAAAGATGTCTTCTTTAAAAGCAATTCTGTGACAGATAAAATATTTATAAATTTGTTGTTTTTTAGGATTTGTTTTGATATTAAATTGTTAAACATATAGTAAAACCTTTTTATTAAAAAAATGTTTCTATATAATATATTGTATGTTTTTCAGTGTTTTTTTTTCTTCATAGTATGGAGTTTCATGTGGATAAGTAATTGTGACCGCATTCAAATTTCATCAGCCGTAACTTAAAAACTCTATTCAAAATGTAAAGCCCTCAAGAAAACTTTTCAATAGAAATTCAAATCTCTCAACAACATTCAGGTAGAATAGAGGTATCTAAGTTCATTGCATATACATACATGAAATAAAGATGATTAATAGACTTCTTTGATCATGAGGCAATTGTTTCTTTGACATTCCTGGGATATTAAGCATATACAGTTCAGACAATCCAGAATAACCTTGAACTTTGGTTGACATAAAGTGGAAATCAATGCATATTTTGCAAGACTTCCATTTTTAAGAACCCATGTAAAAAGTAATGAAAACTGTTTTTTGGACATTTAGAAAATATATTGTATGAATGTATAGCTATTAGGTCTGTCAGTTTCACTTTCAATACAATTAATGTGCATTTACAGTGTAAAGTGCATGCATATGCACAGAGGAGTACAATGTCAAGATGTCCATTAAATGGACAGGCGAGTTCCGACAGCTTCAAGTAAATATTAATATAAACCATTTTTTAAGGGGAAGGGGTAGGGAGGGAGCATATACAGAGAGAAAAAAGGATTTTATCATATAAAACCATTTCTATAGAATGACATGATTACTGTAGAAGAACAAATTTTCATGGGGATGAAATTTCATTCATTTGCCGTCTAAAAGAGTTTCCGTGGGCATTAAATTTATTGTTAAAAATGTAACTCTTTTCATTATATAGTCCCATAAAATTTTGTGTGGGATTATAATTTTGTTGATAATGAAATAAATTTAATCCCCAGAGAATATTTCTGCTTTTACAGTATCTTTTTTTCCAAACTAAATGTCATAATATAACACAGATTTCATTGCTACAATTTATTACAAGGATAATTAACAAGTGTAAAAAATATATTTTAACATCATGTGTATGACTTATGAAAAATTATCATTATTAATGGACACAATATTTGAGCATAAACCCAGTACATGCAGGAAAAACTATGCCATAAAAATTCGCCATTATCAGATATGCTGTGTTTATCTATAAATGCAGAATTCATCTTAGAAAAAAAGATTAAAAAATACACATGTACTAGTAATTTGAATTAATACTACATGTAAAGGTTTGACAGCTTCATTAATTTATCCTAAGACCATGTGTGCATGACTTAGTAAAAAAAGTTGCATGTACCTATAGTTGGTAAAAAATACGAATGATACAAAGTGATTATATCTTCAACCATCACTGTCCTCTAAAACCACTAATGAATGGTATAGATCCACTTATTGTAAAAAAAATTAAAATAAAACAAGAGATGTTTGTAAAACACTTATGCCCCCTCCCCCAAAAGTCCAAAAGGGCATAACTCTGTCAAAAATGGCGCAATTGTACCCTAAACAGAATTTGACCTGGAGTAGATGTTTAGCTGATAAATCTGTATACTACATTTCATTTCAGTATAGGTGCAACCTTTGGAAAGAAAATGAACGGAAACTGAAAATAATTGGAATTTTTTCCAAGTCCAAGCGGCAAAACTGTCAAAAATGGCGCAATCATTCCTAAAACAGAACTTGACCTAGATATTCATCTGATATACCTGTATACCAAATTTCATTTCAGTATGTGCAACGGTTGTGAAGAAAATGAACGGTAACTAAATGGACTGACAGACAGACTGACTGACCGACAGACAACAGAAAAGCAATATGCCCTTCTTCGAAGGGGGCATAATAAATTGTGATTTAACAGCACTACAACCTTCAACACGTAAATATAATAATTATTCAAATAATTACGAATAAAACACCAAAAATTGAATAAAATGAAATTTACAGTTTTACTAAAAATAAACCTACCTTTCACATTTTGAAATAAATTTAAAGTAGAAACTTTTACACTATATTTCACAACCCAAAATTATATGAAAAGCAAAACAGCTCAGTGGAAACATTTAGTACAATTATACATATATTTGGCACATGGACATGCCCTACAATCAACCTGCTAGGCATCGTATAATACAACAGATAAAAAGAGGAAAAAATAAAAAATGATATGTTTTGGACGGAAACTTAAGACCAAAAGATACTACATACTCATAAGTTCAACATGAATAACCCCTTCCCCCTTCCTTTTTCCCATTAAGTAGGAACAAACCTGTTTTTTTTTTATCCTGTCAGCATTGAGTTAGTTAAGCTTTGATCATTGGTATATCTTGAGTCCAGAAGGAACCTAAATTTAACCCTTATAAAAATCAATAAAGATGAAATGGTCCAACTGTGAAATTGATAATTCAACAACACAAAATCTCTATTCCTGATCATCCTTGAATTAGCAGCTTATTACCGAAAACACAAAAACAATATTCCTGCAAGTTGTTTACCATTTCTATTTGTCAATTTTGCTTGTTCAAAAAATTTCATCCTACTGTGGTAATTTAAAACCTTGAAATGTACCCTTATCAGTTAATGCCCATCTCATTTACAAAACTCAAGGTCACAGGTCAAGGCCAGTGGAAAAGATAAATGTACAAATTGTGATCTCAAGGTCAAAGACAAATTTCAATTTACGGTAAGTTTTTAAAACATCTTTTCCAGACTTATTCATTTAAGATGTTACAATCCAATAATTCTTTTTCAAACACATGTATATAACATATACTTTGATGTATTTGAAAAATATCATCCTGATATATTCATATGTTATGTTCAAAGATGTTAGACAGAGTAAATCATGACAAAATAGGTAATGAGGTCAAAGGTCAAGGCCAAGGAAAGCCTTAAGGAGGCTGGGGGGTCAACAAATTAATCATAAATTAACCACCAGATTCAACTAATTTTTTTAGATACGGTATCTTAAGCTGTCATCTATCATTTGGCAAAGAAAAAAATCATATATTTTAGTTTTAAAATTTGATCATTTTTATATATCTTTATATGGAGCTCTTCTTTTACAGGAGATCAAAATGGTCTGAAAATGGCTGCCACACCCCAGCCTCGTTAATGGATGTATTTAAAAATCCTCCATCCTCTGTTGCCTGTGAAGTTTGAATTTATATTAATTTAAGAGTATGTTAACAAAATCTATGAGAATTATTTAACATAACATTCACATAAATGAAGGAAGTCAACAATAATACATACAGCAAGTTTTGCATTGTAACATGTGACCAAAAAATGATAAAAGAGAAAAAAAAAATAATCAATTAAAATCTAATATCAATCACAGCCACAAAAAATTGTGGTCAAGAATACCCATTGGAAGGAATACACAATATATTTATTATATAAAAAAGAAATATACAACTTGATGAAAATACAACTTTTGGAGGGTTCAAACAGTATATTGTACCTAGATTACAATAAACTTGAGTATAAAGATCAGGCACTGTATTGACAAAAACACAGTATTGAAAATTTTAAAGTTTATAAATATGTCTTCTGATAATAAAGGATGCTTTTCAAT